AGGGTAATTATATTATAGCCCAGGGAATGTTTACGAAAGGCTCAACAAACACCATCATGCAGACAATGACCTAGCCGTTATTTAATCTAAGCAGTGTGTAGCGTTTAATAACAGACGTTACGATGGGCACTGTTACCGCCGGTTGGGGTCTGAATTGTTCATTATGCTATTGTATTTGAGGCGTGCTTGTAGTTACAACATTTGCTAATACATATCGGAATGCTAACAACTTAACAATAGCTGCGATAATAGACGTAGTTTCTGCTTAAGAGTACACATTCAGTGATTATTGGTGAGTTATCAATGTTATTTGTTGAACTGTAACATGGGGCAATAGATGAACAAATGAAATGTATCATGAAAATAATTTTTTCGCTTTCATCGCCATAGTAGTACTATTACGGATTTTAAGAATAATACGTCACGCAATACTCGCGTAATAATGCGTAATGCTCACATTACAGAATACTGTAGAGTGACATTTTAAATGCTGTTTCAAGCCGGGGGTTCAGGATTGGAGTGAAATGCTGGTCGTTTAAATCTTTACTTTCTTAACCTCTACAAAGCGATGTCGATGCTAAAATCTTAGCTTACTACTACCGGTGCGATGCCCTCTCATTCTCGTACCTATCTCCTATCTTCACGTACCCTTCTACAGGTGTGACGGTCCACACTAGACCAATCCTCCGCGTATGCCTCTACACCACTTGTCACGTCACTGCACTCTTCACTCACTTTTTCACTTTTCCTCCATCTTCTTCGAGTTCCTCCACTAAACTGGCTGTCTCGCTCGCTTCGGTGAAAAATGCGAGATCTAAATTCGAACAGTAATAGGGGTTTTACAGTTCGAATTTCGATCTCGAATTTTTCAATTTGTTTCGAATTTTCTGTAATTCCTTAATTAGCACATATGTACGAGTACGTACTATAAAACGACAAAGGACAATACAGATGCTTGTTGATACGCAGAAGCATATCCATCTCCAGAGTATTGATTGATGTCATAAAAATATGAAGACTGATTAAGGTGTAATGTAATTCATCAATAAATCGTCATTTAATTTTTACTATGCTATGCGAAAAAGTGTCTGAAGGTTGCTGGCGCTGGAGGCACGTCGTGAGAATTAAAAGCATGGTGGTTTAAAATTGTGTAAAATATCCATCTAAAATCTCTTTCTACCCTTCTGAATGATGCTCATATATAAGAATTTTTGTATTAACTTTTATATTATTTATCTTTTGGTGATGGTGATTATATAGATAATTTCACATATTGCAAGCGATATGGATATCAAGCATTATTAATAAGCAATTTACAGCTGCCAAATTGCGTGTGTAACCACCGCCACCTTCGTTCCTTATCTATTGGTCTCGGCAACGAAAGGCTTACTGTTACTCAGCAATTTTAACGAACTATCTAAGTATCGGATATTTGTGTTCGGTGATATCGCAACTGATATGTCAGATACAGTTGAGCGCACGTGCACTCTCGATGGGAGCGCGAGAGATGGTGCATTGTTTGCATTCATTGAATCTTACTCGTGATTGATTCCAAGATTCCGACAACTACGTATCGGTTCCATGGAATGAACTCGCCGTGAACCATTACATGTTTAGGTTGGCCGCTAATTGAAATGAACGTAACAAAACTTATTGTTTGCTTTACTCAATAAAAACCATTCTCTTCTCGTTTCCTATTTGAGTGCATGAAAACATTGTGCCAAATCAGGGCTGTTATTAAGGTGACGCAATAGCTTAACCGTTGTTCCTTCCAGGACGTCGCTCGTTTTACCATCGCCAAAGTGTGGCAGTAGCCCGTAGAGCGCCGTTCTTGGTGGCCGATTGTTTATTACAGCAGTGAACACTTCGGGCAAGCACTTGGTTGAACTATTCGGCCATAAGGACAATTTCAATAAAACTGTTACATTGTGAAGATTATATATACTAAATTCAAAATTGTCTATTTCTTATAACCAATACTAGAATAATTAATATATTAAATAAATAGTGGAAGCAGGTCAAAGGACGGTAAAGTTATCAGAGGAACTAGCGGTCGAATTTTATGCTTTGTGAGTTCACTTTTGTAGCCATTGATTAATTTAGAAACAGCTAACCCGTCGACTAGTGAAGTGATAATAAACACAAGGCTATCCTTCTTGCACGATCTTGCCTCAAATTTGAAATCAAATAAAAAATAATTTTACCTAAACTTGTTCAATTTAACTTGTTAATTTGTTAAAATTTTTTACAAGTTAAAATGTGAAATAATATAATTTCTTTTATCTCTGACGACAGAGGTAGATGCTGCCCAATTTTACAGAGTTTATCTAGTCTATTAAGTCTCGACATTAATCGGTGAGTGTTCCTATCTCTGGACATAAATAGCGTTAGTTTTTGCATATAAGAAGTATTGTAATAAGTTGTAAATATATTACTTTTAAGCGGCGGTGATCCAAGCTCGGGATTTACATAGTTTGTACTATTAGTTACCTAATATAACTAATTGCCACCGTGGTGGTCTTTAGGTCACTGAAAAGCAATGATGTATTATTAAAATAAAACTAATGACAGAAGATAACCTTTCCTTATCATTATAGTTGATGAGCGTGATGTAGAGTCATTGAGTCATACGAAGCCTTTGGCTTATTATAAATTTCGAACCATGGCGTGCGTTATGACAACTTTTTGTCCATATAAGCGAGATCAAAGTCATCGTCCTCACCATTACCAGTCTGCCTCAATCAGCCACTTCATGTCATAGACCTAGACAGAGGTTGTTGCTAATTTGGTATCCAGTTTCTAAAATAAGACTAGGCTTTGTCTGGAATCGAACCCACCAATTGTTTGATGTACACATAGCATTAAGAAAGCGTTGTGATTGTAAAATAACTATAAATTTAATATGGAAATTTATTTGCGTGTTGATGAATACGATGACTTATCTGACGCCACACGGCACCATAGCGTAAAATTCTTCGCCGGCCGCCGCTGCAGCGCTTAGCTTATATAATATTGCTGAACGGTCGCGTGAAGTAGAGCGCTTCACTGCTACAATGCTCATTGCAATTGTGCACTCGGCGCGGGAAACTCACCTCGAGGTTAACAACATAGTTGGTTGAGCAATGTCCCTTAACACAAACGCTGGAAGCCGCTTGATTCATTAAGATATATTATTCAGGATAAGAGACCGTTGTGAGCTATATTTGTAAGTTATTTTTGTTTTCTTTTGACGTCTAGAACACACGTTATTATTTTTTTCTTCCAAGGCTTATGCGGAAAATGTTTCATTTTTAATTAATTCTATTTAAACCCGTACACTGTATATTAATATTACGTTTAGAAGATTTGTGGGAAAAACCATTTGACATGGAATGTACAGACTAAATGAATGAACTAAATGTGTTGGAAATACCTCTGGCGGATGTCTGGCTTGAAGACCTTTGGAATCAAGCCTCTCGTTCAAATGAGTCAGTGGGAATTTTATTCTAAAATTATTTCAGTGCATAACACTTTATGTATAAAGATTAATTTCGTCGACTGTTGCTTTATCAACGACATACTTTGCATCTTACTTGATGTTGATTATCTATTTCTACAACGATGATGGTTCAGATATAATAGCAACTCTAGTAAGGTTTTATTAAAATTATCTATTATGCGTGATCGAATACAGTCAGCGTGATTGAATAGAGTCTTCAGAGCATTGAAGTGCTTAGAAAAAGAAATTTAGGTAAGAGAACGGATTTTGTACAAGTAGGCCGTCAATTTTTAATGTAGCTATCCATTTTGGGATCACATGAGAAGTTGCTAAGTAGGCTAAAGCCATTAAATGCAAAGACCCAATCGCATTTGCGTCTTTTGTAACGGTGAACCTGACCAATTGCTGAGTTTTTTACTTCGATTCGATTATAGGCGTAGTGGCTTTGGTTTATTTAAGGTATATCGGATCTCATCTCAAGTCTTTCTTTTTGCTTCGTTTATTTATCGCTCTCTCTTCTCTTTACTTTAAATATATTACGGTACGCTATTCGAATATTAATTACGGAATAGTTTGAATATATTAATAGTTAAACATTTAAAAAATGCTGGAGATTATGGACTCCGAAGGTAATGAAGCCATTGATCGCTGGTCCGTGTAGTTCGAGCTCATTAAGAAACAATTGCCTTGCCCGATCTGAAATTCATTTGCAGCTAATTAAAAAATGTTTTAGAGTTGGTACTATTTACTGTTATCTGAAATGGAAAATGTCCTTCTACTTACTGGGCAAGGTCGTTGTCGCGGTTTTCTCACTTTAGTGTTTAAACGTTATCTTAGTTCGGTTGAAGTAATAAAACATGGAACCAATAGATACCGTATATACGTTGTGCCAATTAAATTGTTAATTTATACATTAATATCTCTCATTGCGTAATTTACATTGGTTAATTATTTTTATAGGACATTTATCTCATGAAGCTCCAAACTTTAAAATTTCATTACATATAAGCCTCAGATTATGATTATAAATGTATATGACAAAATAAAATTTTAAGAAAGTGCAATTGCTGATAAAGCTATACTTTTTCGTACCGGGAATGACAAATACGCAATTAATAAAAATGTTTTTTGGTTAATCGTGTATTTTGTAAATTAAAAAAATAAAAAATACACAATAAAAATATACAATTCAGGGATAAAAGGTCATTTTCTAACGTAGCCTAGCTAGATCGACTTTTCGCCCTATCGAATTTATTCGAATCTACGCACATGCACATAAAAATGTTTTTTGGTTAATCAAAATTATATATATATATATATATATATATATATATATATATATATATATATTTCCGATATATATATATATATATATATATATGTATATATATATATATATATATATAATATATATATATATATTTTAAAGGTATTAGATAGATATATTTGTATCTATAGGATTGATTTAGGTGTAACAATATTTACTGTGGGCGCTACTTGCAATCTTTATTGTTGTCGGCAGCGAGCCGGGGCAGGAGCTGGTGGCGGTTCGTGTGGCAATCCGTGGCATGACCTGCCAGTCCTGCGTGCGCAGCATAGAGGGCTCCGTGCGGGAGTTGCCCGGCGTCGAGGATGCCAAGGTGAGCTAGGAGCCTAAGAACGGCCTTCGAAGTGGGCCCTCTGTGGGTTCTGACGCTCATGTTCTTGGTTCAAGGTGGAACTGTCGGAGCACGCCGGCTACTTCCGCTATGACCCGCGCGTCTGCTCCGTGGACGCAATCCGCTCACACATAGAGGACATGGGGTTCGAGACGCCCGTCGACGGCGCCGACGACGAAACCAAGTACGTACACATATGTATCACCTTTGCTATCACACGTTACCAATACTTTGTTGTTGTAATACAACTTGTAAGTTTACTTAAATTTAAAATTGATTAATGGAGTGTCAAAGAGCGAAGTGTAAATATTTATTTATTCATGTGACATGAGAATACAAAAAGATCCAAAAAACGTTCAGTGGAGTTTGTTAAAAATTACATTTCCTTATTTTCATTTCACATAATATCGCTTATCTTACCCTTTTAGAATCGATAAAATATAATAGGACTGACCAATTCCTCGAAATAGTCGTATATACATATATGAATACGTAGCAATTGGTAATGTGTACCTCGCCCCCCAGAAATCTCCTACCGAAAGAGATCCCGACGGACACACTGATCGACATGTGTGCGCCGGAGGAGAGCGAGGTGGTGCTCTCCGTGGTCGGCATGACCTGCCAGTCCTGCGTCGACACCATCGAGGGTGCGTATCACCTTTCAAACACACTACCACCGTCTAGCCTGATGGTGACTAACAATGGGCTGATTAACTTCGGCGTCGGGTCCACGTGAAATTTATTTTTGTAAAACGTCCTTGCAATACGGGATAATATAGATATCCTAAAGTGAGGGCAATGTTTTTTTTTTTTTATTAAAAAAATACAAATGGTGCCGTAGGTATTAATTGAATAAAATAGTAAGCAGTCAAAGTTTAGCGCTTTGGCGAATTTTCACCATATAAGTACAAACTCTGGCACTGGAGTCAATATTTGCATAATCGTTGAATAAACCAAGACTCGGATATAAAATGTTTACTTTAACGGCTTTATGTACTTAAATTATCTCATTTAAAATTTTAACTTTAAGTTTCGGTTTTTTCAGGGAAAGCCAAATCGTTATGTAACTTGTTGCAATGTAATTTACGTAACTGTAATTATACGTCGAAAAGTTGCAAATATATTTACGTTCACTGTTTCAATACCTACATAAACTTTTGTAGGACAAAAGTGTATAATGAGAATTGCCACGAGGTATAACAGTATTACTGAGTGGGTCTTATAGCTCTAGCAAGTGCTTCTGTTTACAGTTAATTAGTAAACAGAGTTGAGTTGTTCGCGTTTGCCAGCACAAAGTTGGAGACGGAAAATCAATGTCACGGTGAGGTTTCACGGTCATCACGGCTGACGTGTTGCTATTTTGTTGTTAGGTCAATTTAGATTTCCGTGAAACAACTTTGACAGAGTAAAAGCTGTGGCCTTCCAAGTCCTTAACACAATGCATAATACAATTCGATAAAACATGTTTGATTTAAAATAAGATGCTGATCAATTTCCGTGGCCTTGCTTAACAAGTTACGAAGATAGATATACGTTGTGGGAGATGTTTCAGTTTAAATTTGATAAAAGAAGGTTCCTGTTCCCTCATAGATATGAGGTGTATAGGTAGTCAATCTTAAAACGTTATGGCGAGAATTATCCGGTTTCTAAAAACACCTTTTTTGGACCCGTATACTCCTCGACATAAATGCAATGAAATAACGATAGACTGAAGAATGGAATATAGGTACTTGCCATTGTTATTAGGGAAAATGGGAGTTTGGTAAGGGATTGTAAACATACCAGCTCAGCAAACTTACTCGTAATCGTGTACTTTTGTCGGAAATTTCTATCTAGTGAGGAGGAAAGTGAGGTAACGGTGCGCGTGTGTGCGTGTTCGTGTGTGTCAGGTCGGCTGCGTGAGATGAGCGGTGTGCGCGCGGCGTCCGTGAGCCTGGCGGCAGGCGTGGCGAGGGTGCGCTCTTCGCCAGACCTCGTCAGCCCCTCGCAGCTGGCGGACGCCGTCTACGACCTGGGCTTCGACGTAGCCGTCCTCACGGTCGACGGGCGACCACATTCGGGTGAGCACCTGCCCGCCCTAAGATAAGAGGCAACTCGACTGTGCTCTGCGGAGTTCTTTAGACCTTGGACCGCGGCTTTGGTTTTACATGGGATTTTCTTAAATTCTATCTATAAATCTCAAATAGTTAAATGCAATGTAAAAGTAATGCATAAATGTTTTAATTCCAATTAGCGCTGTTGGATTACTGATAATTTGAGGTTAATTGCCATCGCTCAAACATCCCTGAAGGCATTACGATCGTTTTTCGATTTTTCGTTCGATTTTTTTATCCATCTACTGCTGGTAGGACCGCGCAACAGTGTACACTGTTGCACGAATGGGCAGGTCACTCCGGGTAAGTACAACGACCTCACAGAAGACCGGCGTAAAGTGTTACACTTCTGCGTTTCGTCTGACGAGTGAGGTAGCCGGGGCCAACAGGTGGCGACTAATTTGCATCCCTACGGGTGTTGCAAATGTCCATGGGCGGCGGGTATCACTGAACATCAGGTGAACCGTCAAATCGTTTTCCACTTTCGCACATAAAAAAATCCGTTGCGTATCCTCAGAGTCCGCCTCGCAGACCAAGAGCCAGAGGGACGCGTCCGGAGACGGCGTCAGGTCGGCCCAAGTGTCCAAGACACAGCTCAACGTATGTATATTTAAATAACACCGATTCAAGTGCGTTATCGGATGTCCTAATGTTGAGGTTAATAAATGACATATCACTTTGATCTTAAGAGCAAAATCAGAAGTTCAAATTCATTGAAAGATAAATTTTACTCAGAATTTTCTGCTTATTCTTTTGTATCCGAAAGAAATACCTATACGGAGAATACATGGAACTCCCCTGGTATATATATAGAATAAGACATTATTTATCAAAGAACTTATTAACTCTTTTTGCTGAAATATCTCAGATTGGTGACTGCACGACTGCTAAAGGAAATATGCATTCTAATCTTTCCTCTTGTTTTCTGTTGAATAATCAAATCGTTTCGACGTGGCCGTTCATTACTGGGCGCAGGGCGGGGCGGGGGGCGCGGAGGCGACGTCGCGCTGCACGCTGGAGGTGCGCGGCATGACGTGCGCCTCGTGCGTGGCCGCCATCGAGAAGCACTGCGCCAAGATATACGGTCGGTCGCAGACTACTCTACAACTGCTCCACTGCCCCTTATCCTTTGATGCTGATGGATCGGTCCCTGCGCAGGAGTGCAGTCGGTGGTGATCGCGCTGCTGGCCGCCAAGGCGGAGGTGAGCTACGAGCCTCGAAAGGTGTCGGCCGCGGATATCGCGCAGGCGATCACCGCCCTCGGCTTCCCCTCCGACGTGCTCAGCGACGGCGACGGCTGCGGCCAGCGCGATCTCCTGCTGCACGTGGGTAGCCCACCCTTCGTCTCTAAAACCCTTAACAGAAAACAGACTGGGCTCCGAGACGTCACCCTGTGGGACCCCTTTCGAAAGAGTGCAATGCTCTTTGTAGGAAACTTTTAATAGTGTGCTGTTTTGTTTTTCAGGAAACTTTTAATAGTGTGTCTCTTTGTGTAGAATTGATTTTTATTTATTATTTATTTATTTATTTATTTATTGCACATCCATTAAGTACTTTTAATAGTGTGCTGTTTTGTTTTTCAGATAAAAGGCATGACCTGTGCGTCCTGCGTGAGCAAAATAGAAAAGACTGTACTTAAACTGAGCGGCGTCGTGTCCTGCGCCGTTGCACTAAGCACTTCCAAGTTAGTGCTCAGTATATTATTGTTGTGTGATAGAATGAAGATTATTTTATTGGCACACGTACAACCGTAATGGATCGTTTCAGGGGCAAAATCAAATACGACTCGGAGATGATCGGGCCGCGGACGATTTGCGAGGCGATCGGCAGCCTGGGCTTCGAGGCGACGGTGGCCAGCCCCCACGGCCGCGGCACCACCGACTACCTGGAGCACAAGTGAGGCGCCCTCGCAGTTGGCGCTTTGCCTCTGCCCGTTTATTGCACAGCGTCGGATTGAGATTTCGGATGTCGCGTGGGCAGGGAGGAGATCAGGAAGTGGCGCAACGCGTTCCTGGTGTCGCTGGCGTTCGGCGCGCCGTGCATGGTGGCGATGGCGTACTTCATGGGCAGCATGGGCCAGCACGGCGCGCGCGACATGTGCTGCCTGGTGCCCGGCCTCAGCCTCGAGAACCTGCTCATGTTCCTGCTCTCCACGCCCGTGCAGCTGCTGGGCGGCTGGCACTTCTACCGGCAGGCCTACAAGGCGCTGCGCCACGGCAGCCCCAACATGGACGTGCTCATCTCCATGACCACCACGATCAGGTTTCTTTTTTTTAATGTGAGATGGTTGCCCCCGCCAACTCACGTCCATTTCACGGTCTTCAGTGAGGTACTTACCCTTACGGACCTGCCCATTCGTACAACAGCCGATGCTGTTGCGTAGACCTACCATATTTAAAATTAGCTTTGTTTCATTCAATAGCTCCACATGAAGGTGTTCAGTTGTCACGTAACCGTATTATTCATGTTCTCCGCGTCAGCTACGGGTACTCGCTGGCGGTGCTGATCGCCGCGATGGCGATGGAGAAGGACACCAGCCCCCTCACCTTCTTCGACACGCCGCCCATGCTGCTAGTCTTCGTCTCGCTCGGCCGCTGGCTCGAGAACATCGCGAAGGTGACCACGCAAACACATTGCACTACATTAAGTCATATTGGGCAATTGAGGAAAACGGATAACGGATAAGATATTAATGCTCCGATAGTTTGTAACCTTAATCTTTAATTTACACAGCAAACAATCGAAAGGATAAACGAAGTGCCATTTCAGGGCAAGACCTCCGAGGCGCTATCCAAGCTGCTGTCCCTGAAGGCGACCGAGGCGCTTCTCGTGACCCTCGACGGCGACGGCAACGAAATATCCGAGAAGAACATCCCCATTGACCTGGTCGAAAGAGGAGACATTCTTAAAGTGAGTGACAGCGTCTAGCTGATTGACTTCAGGGCGGCACTCAGGTAGACATTGTCAACTGTAATTCTACTAAGATAATTGTAATGACATCTAATCGCTGTACAAGTTTATTAAAGATTGCAGCGTTATTCATATTGAACCGCTTAACATGAACGCAGGTAGTTCCCGGTGCCAAAATTCCGGTGGACGGCAAAGTCATATCGGGCCAAAGTACTTGTGACGAGTCTCTAATAACGGGTGAATCCATGCCCGTTCCCAAAACCAAAGGTAAGTAGAAATAAGTGTTCATTCGTAATGTTCATATAATTTTTTTAAGATTAAAAAAAAGCAAGAAAAATTACTTTATTAATTTACCAAACATTTGTTATGCTCACCAGTACTTTATACATCAATAAATAATTTGTAAGCGTTTTTGCAATATTTTCATGCGAATTATAGAAGTCGCTGTCGGAGACCTCAAAAAAACCAATTTGCTTTGAACTTATTTATTAGAACTTAAGAAGACGCTGCTTAGTTGCACTTTTCTATGGGAACGGATATGTAACATGCGACGGTTGATTATTTTTTAAAAGAGGAGGAGTCTCAATGCAACTGTGTTTTTTATGTTTGTTACTTCAGAACTTTCGTGAGTAAACCGATTTTTTATTTGAAAACTGGTGCTTCTCATGTGGTCCACATTAATGTCATTGGTATCGAATGGTGGGTTAAATAAAATAAATATTAGAAGCGTCGAAAGGTCGGTGTCGAGCGGGGGCGAGTGACGTAGAGCGGTGGTGTGCCGGCAGAGTCGCTGGTGATCGGCGGCAGCATCAACCAGCACGGGGCGCTGCTGGTGCGCGCCACGCACACGGGCGAGGCCAGCACGCTGGCGCAGATCGTGCGCCTCGTCGAGGACGCGCAGGCCAGCAAGGCGCCCGTGCAGCGCCTGGCCGACACCATCGCGGGGTGAGCCCCTCAACAACTTTCTCTAATAACCACTCGGCCTTCGTTGCACAACAACTTTTTTCTCGTTTATATGCCTTTATTATATTCCCCCCCCACCCCACTCCAATGACCAACCCCGCTTCGTTGCGCAGCTACTTCGTGCCGATGGTCGTATTCCTGTCGGTGCTGACGCTCGTCTGCTGGATAATAAGCGGTGCCTACAACATCGAGGAAATAAGGGCTATCACGCCGGTGAGTGAGGCATCTGTTTGTTCAATACGTGAGCGACTGCTTTGAGATTGAGATTGACGATTGAATATATAAGTGGAGTGATAAGTCTGGTAAAAATCTGTTTTGTAATAAAATTATTAACGCATTTTAACAAAGATTAGCGAAATTTTGTGTGTTGATGAGATATTATTTTTTGCGCAAAACAACAAAAAAATCTATTACAGTAATGAAACAAAGACTTGATAAAAATTATCGGGAGTCTGCACCGGAGAATCATTTAAATGATTCAGAATTCGTTTTCGATTTGTTTGTGTTGCTGAACGTTCGGGGTGCAATTGAGGTCACTACTCTAGAAATGATCATTAAAATCTATGAATTAATATTGAACGACTTTTAGTAGAAGTGAGCGATTGAAAAGCTAGAGAAAGACTGTATGAAGTGCATTGAGCTAAGAAGTAGGAAGTACATTGAAGTTTAAGTACCTTAAAATATTTAAAGAAAATTAATTCATCGTTTCATCTTTACTAGACATATCACTCTGTGCTTGTATAATCTAATAATAGCTTTTTTCCGTTTTAGGAAGTTTTGCGGTATGTAAATAATTTTGCTTAAAAATGAAGAAGTTGTTTCTATGTATCGTATATTTTGTACACTGGTCACACCGCTCGGTGGCGCGACTCGGCAGGAGATGTACCGCGACGGGTCGCGGTGGCAACTGATCGTGCAGACGGCGTTCCACTTCGCGCTGAGCGTGCTGGCCATCGCGTGCCCGTGCGCGCTGGGGCTGGCCACGCCCACCGCCGTCATGGTGGCCACCGGCGTGGGCGCCAAGCTGGGCCTGCTCATCAAGGGCGCCGAGGCGCTGGAGAACGCGCACAAGGTGGGCGCGGGGAGGGCTCGATGGGGGCGAGGGGGGGGGGGGGGCGGGGGGGCGGGGCTCTCTCATCGGGGCGACCCTCTGCGCAGGTGCGGACGGTGATCTTCGACAAGACGGGCACGATAACGCGCGGCGAGGCGAGCGTGGCGCGCGTGTGGCTGGCCACGGAGGCGCCGCGCGACCTGCCCGCGCTGCTGGCCTGCCTGCACACCGCCGAGCTCAACTCGGAGCACCCGCTGGCCTCGGGTGGGTGCAAAGTTTGCTCCGTCGTGTGTCGGGTGTGGGCAAGGGCGCGTGGTTGAGCCGGGCCGTTATGCGCAGCGATCGTGCGCTGGAGCGGCGCCGCGCTGGGCGTGGGCAGCGAGGGCCGCGTGGGCGCGTGCGGCGGGTTCGCGGCGGCGCCGGGCTGCGGGCTGCGGGCGCGCGTGCGCCTGGCCGCGCCGCCGCCGCTGCCCGAGCCGCTGGCCGCCGCCCTGCGCCTGGCCGAGTGCGTATCGAGGACGCGGGGTGCGCCGCTGTGTGGCCGCGGTACGAGCTGGCTTTGTGTTTCCGGCGCAGGGCGGGCGGGGCGCTGTGCGTGGGCGGCGTGCCGGTGGAGCTGGTGCCGGCGGCGGGCGACGCGGCGCTCAGCTCGGCGCAGGCGGCGGCGCGCCTCCACGCCCTCATCGCGCCCGGGGACCAGCAGGCGAGTGAAGTGTTCGACCCTACCACGGTAAAGGTAGAACCGTGAAGCGGCTTCTGCTCATGCACCAACGTTCAGGCTCATCTGGGGAAGTAACACCACCTCTCAAAAGATCAGCGTGAAGTGGAACGAAGTGTTAAAATTTCACATTTCGTCTGGCTCAATTTTATATTTCATATTGATTCATATTTAGATAGTGTTGGAACAACAAGTTAGCTCAACAAGTTTTACCCTTTAACTTATTCTTTAACTTCCTGATTACAATTAATATACAATATTCTACTAGGAGGTTTTTCAACAACGACTAAGCATCAAAACATTGCTATCGCGACATAGATATTTCATCCGACAAAAAGCGATAAAGCATTCGTAAATTAGCATTTAAAATGTGTCAAATTTCCGTGCATAAAAATAGATAAAGTTTTTAAACGTGGGGCCGAGAGGAATACCCGCTCATTAGCTATTAGAAGATCTTCATACCCTCGCAGGAGGCAGAGCAACTGGTGCTGGTGGGCAACCGCGAGTGGATGGCGCGCAACGGGGTGACGGTGCCGCCGCGCGTGGACGAGGCGCTGCGCCAGGACGAGCTGCTGGGGCGCACCGCCGTGCTGGTCGCCATCAACGGTGGGTGCTGCTCCTCGGTGCGGTTCTCGCTCTTGGGCCTCGAGCCGGTGTAACAAGTGGTGCCCCCCGCAGAGCGGCTGGCGTGCACGCTGGGCGTGGCGGACGAGGTGAAGCCCGAGGCGCGGCTGGCGGTGCACTGGCTGCGGCGCATGGGGCTGCAGGTGTGCCTGCTGACGGGAGACAACCGAAAGACCGCGCTCGCCATCGCCGCCCAGGTCGGAACCCCCGCCCCCACCATACCTGTGTTGTATTTTGCCCTTACTCACTTATTCGCCAGTCCGTTTAAATATTACGTATTAATCTTTTGCTTTCTTCTGGATATTTTTCATATACACGCGTGCGCTGATAATATCCGTATCCTCTCAGGTTGGAATCGACAAGGTGTACGCGGAAGTGCTGCCCTCGCACAAGGTGGCGAAGATACAGAAGCTCCAGGAGCAAGGGCAGAAGGTCGCCATGGTGAGTACGAGGGGCCGATTACGTAGCATGCCATTGACGTAGCACTGACCACTTGGCCACTGACCATTCGCCGGCGCGCAGGTGGGCGACGGCGTGAACGACTCTCCGGCGCTGGCGCAGGCCGACGTGGGCATCGCCATCGCCAGCGGCACCGACGTGGCCGTCGAGGCGGCCGACCTCGTGCTCATGAGGGTAACCCGTTTCATTTTATTTCTTCATACACATTCCATTTATCAATATCCTCATAACTACGCTTAAAAGAAAATTCATTTAGATTTTTTTAAACATTGGAATTTCTTTTTAAATGCAGTATTCGCCCTAGCTTTTCACGACAAACTCAAATTTAAATGATAATAAAATATTCAAAAATTGAATTTTTTTTAATTAACGTACTATGAAAAAAGTATCATTTTACTCTTTTGCGGATAAATTATATTTCACTTAAAATCAATAGGGTGATTCGGCGTATCATCCGTGGTATTACTCTGTTGCAGAACGATCTCCTGGACGTGGTGGCGTGCCTGGAGCTGTCCAGGAGCACCGTGCGGCGCATCAGGCTCAACTTCATCTTCGCTTCTGTCTACAATCTACTCGGCATCCCGCTGGCCAGCGGCGCCTTCGCAATCTACGGCCTCCAGTTGCAGGTATATCTCGACGTAATTGGATTAATCAATCACTAGTATTGAGGAGGAATTCATACTCGTACTTCAGTCACAATTTAAAGAACGTCGTTTTACATAAAAAATAAAGAATTAACATTTACTATACAAACAACACTATTTCGTGATTCGCGAGGTAAAGCAGGTCATTAATGTATATGAAGAAGAGAAAAGACCCAAGAAAGGATACCTGTGGGACCCCGCACATGCCAGGGTCTCGGGAGATCTCTTGCTATTGACGTCAACTCTCTGAATCCGGTGGCTCAAGTACGATGTCAGTAGATGGAGTGGGTTATTTCTTATACCATAGTAATGTAGTTTCGTGACCAGCCTCATTCTGTACAAATCAAAAGCTTTGGTTAAGTCACAAAATGTACCCAATGCTTTTCCCGGGTTACAAAAATATTCTTAACAAACTGGATATCCGCATCTGTTGTTGAACGACTCCTTGTATAGTAACTGGATAACTTAGTAGTAAATGGATGTAATAAAATATAGGTTGTTGCTATATGAATAATTTATGACTTGCTAATTGTTAATGTTACACTTAAGCCGTCGGAGTTGTACGTGACGAGGCAGGAATTGCGTGCCCCCTAGCGCCCTGATCTTTCTTGCGGAAGTGGCGTTCAGTGTTGCCGTAATACCTCGTTTGCTGCTGTGTTGCTTGTTATGTGCACTAAAATGCAGTGACATTTGATTCAATACATTTTTTTCAAAAACTTAACTAAGAATTGATTGTACAGAGATAGATAGATTTAAACACCCGATGTTTTTTTACCTTTCTTCGTAAGGTTAGAAAATTCGCTACGTTTAATAAAAATACTAAAAATAGTTGTTAGGTAAGGTAGTCCGACCGAGATCTACCATTTATCGGCAGTTCTTTTAACACCTTCAAGTGTAAATGTTTTAACAGTATCTTTCTTATTTATAGTTTAACATAAATTCTATACCATTTGTTTTTGTTAATAACTAAGCTGTTCCGTTGCAGCCGTGGATGGCGTCCGCCGCGATGGCGATGAGCTCGGTGTCCGTGGTGTGCTCCAGCCTGCTGCTGAAGACGTGAGTATGGCTCTGGCGGTGCGGGTGCTCCGCTGGGCAGGATTTACACTGGTCAAGCGTTAAACCTTCGGACAGTGGCGGCTCAATTTAGCTTGACCGAAATAGAATCGCTTTGTATTGTTTAGTGTAAATAGTGAGATTAGTAGAGCGGGCGGCAACAGAGGATGAATTGCACTGTCGCCGTGGCAGGTTCCGCAAGAGGCAGCCGGAGCCGCTGCCGCCCGAGACGGAGCAGCTGCGCGCGGTGGCCGTGCACCGCGGCCTGGACGAGGCGCACGACCTGCACGGCCCGCCCTGCGCCAAGTCAGTGCCCGACCACCACCACCTCACTCCACCCACGCACCACTCCACCCGCACACCCACGGATTCTACTCCCACTACTTCTTTCACTTTTCTTCTCTGTCACACAAACTGCCGTGTATTGAATATGTCTCTAATAAGGGAACAGTTTCGAATTGTACTGTGTTATTTGCAAATGGCGTGGGTTCGATAGCCGATAGAAATGAGAGTATGTCAATTTATCAATATTTCCCTCAATTTTGTCATGGATTGTTATTCAAAAATTTTGCCATTCACCCAAATAACAATCGATAGTTCGGATCGAGTAGTTAATGTGGTCTAATAAGCCGAATACCAAATGATATAAACCTAACAATGTAAATTTATTATTGCTATTAAAATTAAAAGTAAGCAAGATTCAGTTTGTTAAATGGCAAACAAATTAGCCGAATCCATTGTGAAAAATTGACACATTACGGTGGATGAGGTAGCACTTGTAGCGGTTGAAGGAGTGACGATGGCGGTAGATTGGGCAGGCGAGAGCGGGCGCGCTGCGGAGAGCCCCGAATCGGCGACTCCGTGGGGGAGCCCCCGGCCGGCTCGTAGCGGTGTGTAGGGCGCCGCCCTCCCTTTCTCTAGTGCAGTGTTGTCGGTGGCCGGTGGGGTGCTTGTGGCGCGGTTATTCCCCACCTCGGGAACATTCATTCACCATGTACATCACGAAACCTTTATGTTTTGCAAACGCATTCTTGTAATCTACTATCTATTGTCAAGTTATATGCAAATAACATTACTTTGATTTTTATATATTATTATTGGTATTTATGTAGAACATCAAAACGATATAATGTATATGTATAATCACTATGAGTTCCCTCTTATTAGTGTGTGGGTGTGCCAAAGCTACTAGTTTGTATCGCTTTTTGCATGTGTGCGGCCCACTTGTTTTCTCATTTCGGATGTTGCTTTTTCTATTCATGTATATTCATAATTGATGATTGATTGATTCTTTTTTGGATGTTGATACTGTAAACAGGTAAGACTGTAATTCAACAAAATTTTAGCTATTGAAATAACCGAGACATCAATACTGTTAGTATTGATGTCTTGCTCGATACAATGGATTAGCTGTAGGTTTTCCTCGTATACCGTCAAAGATAAATATTCCGAAGCATCATCATGAACGATCGACTGACACTCAGCTACGAAAAAATCTCATTCATTATTATAAATTGAAAACACTGTAGTCTAACGGGCGGTTTCTATGCGCAGATAGACTTGGTTACTAGCTATAGGTATTTGACATTGGCTCGATAGTATTTGCATCAAAATTCTATTAGCAGTGACCAAATCTATTTGTAGATAGAAGATTGAAACCGGCCGTAAGCCTAAAACGTGTTTATGATACGTGTCCGTTTGGCGCGGCCGTTGGCACTTTGGCAGACTGGCGTCGGCGGGAAGCGAGGCCGAGGCGGAGCTGATGCAGCACGATGACAGCATGCTGACAGTCTCCTTCATCCCCAAGGTGGAGCGGTAGGGGCAGGGGTGGGCGGCCCAGCGCGGGCCAAGTCCAAACTACGGGCATTTACTCTACTGGTGCAAACGAAACTGAATAGTATTTCTAGACAATATTAACTTTCTAAATAAACGCGAAGGCGAAGATATACTTATACAACCTTTGTTGTGAAACATTAGGTAAAATCTAATGTTGAATTCGCTCAATAATGAATTCACTCCCTTAAGACGGAGGCGCACAACGATGAGATAAACCTACAATATGTATGCAAACACAAAACGTATAAGTACGCAACCTCGCGAGGGCTTATTGTTTCCAACATGTACTATGTATGTAATATAAAGATATAACAACATTGAACGAGATAATGTATATAATGTATTATGAAATCACTTTTCAAGCGTTTTGCTAGAAGGCAATACGATGTGTTTAGTGTCGCCTTGTATGGCGCTTTGTTTGTATGTATGATTGTATATAGATGCTCGAAATCGAAACGATCGTGCACTGCGTATTTAATATTAAAGTGTTTTTGTATTTTGTGAATATGATCGAATAGTTAATTTTCAGGTGTAAGAAAGTTTTAGCTCAAAGCTGTATACATGCTGACTTTACGTATGTTATTTTGTATTTATTCTCTATGAAACTTAAATTTATCCGGATATCGATACTAACCGAATCCTATAAAACTAATTGGTATAAAAATTATATAAAATTATCTTACATTTAGTATTAGAAAGAAACATAAATTGTCACAACTAATCCTAAGAACTATAGTGTACATTTCCAGCGATGACAAAAGTAAGATGATAAGTAAAGTTATAACTCGTAAATACGTACGCAAATCTGAGGTACGTCTTAAAGAAACCAAAATAAATATCCTTTAGTTTGCTGTGTGTCATTACTTACCTGAATTTGATCCTTATTAGTGACAATGTCGAATGGTGTAATAAAACTGTGCGTGATTTTTTTTCTCTATCGAAGTTTGTTTTTTTTTTCATAAAAGAGTTCCGTGATTTTCCAAAAATCCAATTTTGTTATTTTACTTTTAACCCAAGTTGGGCCTATTCCTCGTAATCTCGAATTCGGCCAACCACGTGCCCAATTGAAAAATTCCCCTTTGTATAATTAAGTAAATATTGAAAATTTAATGGAAAATGTTTTGAATTAGAAATTGGCAGAGCGCTGAGCTTTTAAACTCTTCGATCGCTAATCTATTGATTTTATAGCAGAATCATACGTTGCATGGAGTCATGAGTATTATATTTTTGTATCGAAATAAAAAGAGCATTTCTAAAATATTAACTACTTTCATTTCATAATTTCATCTCCGTCGTTAATTAATATTTAGTAAAATGTGGGTTCGGTTGGGCCTCGGGACTGTTTCTGTTTACCAATTTGGATGTTTTTCGTGCTTTTTATATTAATTCATTGGTGGTCAACTAGCTATCTAGTGTCAAAAATCCCGACTCCACAGGAAGAGGTTATGCTTGAGATGATGACATTAATGTTAAATATATAAAAATGAATCCCTATTGCCCTCGGTCACGCCATCACGCGTGAACGGCTGGGCGGATTTCGCGTATTCTTTTTTATAATATTCCTTGAAGTAGGAAGATGGTTCTTACGGAGAGAAAAATTTAAAAAAATGCCTGAAAAAGTCTAAAAACAACACTTCTACATTCCCGTACAAAAGATTCGTAATAATACTTGAAAGTCAATTTGAACTTTAATACCATACCATAAAGTTTAAGTGTTAGTGGAGGGGTTCTGGGAAGGCAAAACAAGTGAGTGACTGTGGTAAAATGTCACTTGAAATGTAAACGTCTCTTTGCTGTGCATCACTACATAGTATAATACAAAGTCGTCTCGCTGTCTGTCTGTCCCTATTTACGCTTAGATCTTTAAAACTACGCAACGGATCTTTCTGTGGTTTTTACTAAATAGAGTGATTCAAGAGGAAGGTATATGTATAATACATTGCACCCGTGCGAGGCCGGGGCGGGTCGCTAGTAACAACAATAATTATGTACGGAGGTACGAACGGGGTATGATCTCTTTAGTTCAATTTCGCTTTCAACAAACAATGAAGCAATCGATGTTCATAGAGGAGCACTAGCTTATTAAATGACTGACACTCGTGTCAATCTGACAAACTCGCGTAGCATCATAAATCAATATCGTTTGATATGGAGGAGAATTTTAAAAAACTACAAAAGGACGGCAAGAACACTATTGACGGCCTTATAAAATGGTTGACGGATGGTAAAAAGCTATTTGATACTATTTCGTGAAAAGGATTATGGTGGTTAGGACCTTTTCAGATATATACACTACTTTTCAATCGTTGGTACACCGTAAGAAAACATTATATTAGGCTAACTACTGGTTTGAATTCTTTGACACTATGAACCAACACAATTATAATTTTAGTAAAAACTAAAGGTTTTATAGGTACATATATACTTATTTATCTTCCTTGTATGTAATATGACATCAAAATATAGAGCAAATATCAAATACAACAAAAAACGGCTAATATTCCGAATAGTACGTCTCGTTTTTCAAGCTAGAAAAAAATTTTAATCTATAGAGGAATGTTAATAACTAAATATTATATAAGTTATAATCAATGAAAACCACTAGACGATAGATTATGAGGAAAAAATTAACAAACTTTAAATTTCATACAACTGAAATCCGTCAATACTGTGCGTCCATTATTCATTATAGACTATTATTTTAAGTTAAAAACTTACGTTTTCACTTTTTACGTTGTAAGAAGACACAAATACACAGATATATCACAAAAAAACACAAGTTTCTACTTCATGAACATGTATTATTAACAATTTCTAAAATTTAAAATTTGTGACTTAGTGTACACTTAATGTCTCGAATATTAGGTTCAAAATGAGTCGCAGATCCGACAGAGCGATCCGACTCGGATAGGTTAGGTTAGAAGGTTAAGGCGGGAGCTTCGCTCCCGCCTTAGCCTTCGTTGTTAGGTTCTTTTTTTATGACCACCCAAAAAACTTTAGTGTAACAGTACTTTTAGTATTTTTAAAGACTCTTTTTTAATAATGCGAAGGTTATAATTTGGAAAAGTGTGTGAATTCGTAAATTTATACATGTTGTCAAACACAAAATGGCGGATTTATTTAGTGAAAATAACAAGTTTTAAATATTTTTTTTTATTAAAAGTAAGTGTTTGCCTTGGTTTTCATGTATGTAATATTTTATTATTAACGTTTCTCTATTGATTAAAATTTTTTTCTAGCTTGAAAAACGAGACGTACTGTTCGGAATTTTTACCCAAAAAACCTATAAATGTTTTCTATAAATGGTATAATCGTGGCATATATTTCTTTTTAAAGTTGGATAGTTTAGGACAAGTGTTTTATTGTATAGTGAAGCATATTCTGTTGTCACACATAGGTACAAAGGCGTCATAGACTCGATTAACGATTGTGCAATAGGACTTAATACCAATGAAATCTCTCACATTAATCAGAAAACAAAATCGTTGGCAATGGATTTACTTTCGAAAATATCAAACAAAAAAAAAGGCTGTATTATATACTTTTTTTATGTGAAAAGTTGCCAAACGAGCAGACGGTTCACCTGATGTTAAGTGAATACCGCTGCCCATGGACATCTGCTACACTCGAGGGTTCCAGATGTGTTGTCAAAATTCCTAACGCTCTTGAGTAGAGATGTTACATTACGGTAATTTTTAGATAATAATATTAGTCAATATATTAATTATCTCATATTATTACTGGTGAATAAATTTTCTGTAGTAAAGTAAGTAAAGTAACAGCCCATACATGTCCCACTGCTGGGCAAAGGCCTCCTCTATATAGAGGGTATCAGGGCATAGTCCACCACGCGGCCCCACTGCGGATTGGCGGACTTAATTTTCTGTAAACGTTGATTATGTTGGCTGTATGATTGTTATCTATTGAATAAATGTTTTTTTCTTAACACATACTTATTACTGTTTTTATTATTTCTACTTTTTTTTAAATTTTCGTAAGTTTCACTATTTTATTAATTAATAAATTTTACGTTTGAAAACGCCAATGAAATTGAAATTGTTTGAAGTTTCAAAGCCTCAATATCGTTCTACGCTTCTTGCGGACACATATTTTCAGACCTGTAACCTATTAGGTAATATAGTCTATAGTCGTTTATCCTAATACTAATATACGTTGCTTGTGTTAGATATACCTGTACCTATTACGAATATAAGTATTAGACACACCTCAAGCGTAGCGTTGTTCTATCTGATGAATCAAGATAATAATTAAGAGATTCCTATGATACTTGGCACATCCGTTTTAGAATAGTTGCAAGTAAACCTAAGTTAATACATAAAATATAATTGTGTGGTATATGTACGGTAACACTGCTTAAGATTCGTTTTTTTTAAAATGCAATATAATTTTAAATTGACGGCAAATCTATGCTACTACTATAAAATATGACGTTCTAAAGGAAACGTAAGGTGATTGCCATTACATTTTAACGATTATAATTATACAGAGTTACCGCGTTTCTGCGATATGGAGGAAATGTTTGAAAAACTTAAAAAAAGCGGCAAGAACACTGTCGACGGTATTATTCAGATGATGAAGGATGGTAATTTACCCAAAAATTATAATGAATCCCTTTCTCCGTCTGTTTTTTCAACTCTTTCGCCACTCTTGTAATGCTTGTAGGATAAAATATATTTTCATTTCCATAACTGCTGTATAGTTAAGATCATAGACGGGATCAAGTTGACCGAGGAGAAAGCGCGAGAGGCGTTCGCCGATGTGGTCGACCCAAAGAACGTGAACCTGGATAAGTTCAAGGAGGGATTGACTAAGCTGGCGAGCGATCAGAAGAAGAACCTCGAGGACTTCGCGAAGAGCTTGGCCGACGAGGCTCCCAGAGTTTTGGACGCCCTGCAGGCCGGCGCCAGCGCCTTTAAGGAGGCTTTATCAAAAAAGTGACTGAAACAGTGTAAAGAAAATTTTTTCGAATGAAATAAAAAATTAACTACTTAAGTTTTTTTTTGTCAGACTCGTATTCAACATGCCTAAACTCTGATAGTTACATCGAAGCCACCAACGTAGCCAAGCCGTAAATAAAAATAGTTCCATTTAGTAATATACGATCGCGTAGGGATGCCGAAAAAATATCGATATCGAACCTATACACAATCGCCTAGATAAGAAGATAGCGTGTGTGACCAGTGTCAGTGATTTATTAGAACAATATTTACCAGGTCATTCTTTTACAGTATTCGTGTTACATTGAAACGGACTACCATCTTGTAACATATCGCCGATTAACGCTTAGCGCAGCATTCCACCACTCTTAGCGGGAAACTTGGGCCGCGCGTCTTATCGTGTTTTGACTAACGCCTTAGCGTTATAAGCCTTAACACTACGGTACACGCCCCTCTAAAACGTTCATGAGTGCTCGCGTGGGCTTCACTCGTAGCCCATTTTTAAATTGAAATATACTGAAAGATAATAGTTTAATTTTTAAATAAAACACATTTATTATTATAAATGATAATTTATTAAGTAAACTGAAATAAAAAGAAATATCTGACCCATCTTAAACTTAAAAATTTTAACAAAACTTCACTTTTCAAAAAATGACAGTTATTTGTGATCAATGAACTTTTGGTTTAGTTCTTAATTTTTTTTAATTTTTTTTTATTTACATTACACGCATGACAAAATGGTGATCATCATATTTACGCCTGTAGCATTTCGAACAATTTTTGACGTCCTGATCTATTGACACCGATAACTATAGTAGAGCAACAAACGCTTTCAATTCAGTTAGAGTCATAGGCTTCGCATCGCGTTCTCTTTGGTATTTATTCTTTATATATATCTATCTATATGTGGTAAAATGTACAAATATATATATATATGTGTGTATATGTATATTTTTGTAAACTTTACCAGGGATTCAAAAATAATAAGCTCAAAAAATAACTCGAAACATTGAAGGGGTGTACAGGCATTAGAAGCTGTATCTTTTGGTTCTAAATGTCTTTGTATAATATTATGAATATGTAGCCTTGTTGTAGGAAATGGTCGTTTCCCCCATTCCATTTAATATTAAGATTATAAGTGGCTAATTCTGCGAGTGGCATACCGTGGTCCGAATCACTGTTGTTTTGTTCAGCATTGTCACCATTTTCATCAGTCTGATCTTTTTGCTCGGTATCAGTGTCGTGCGGAAAATGAATTATATTTTCTTCTTCTCTCAAATCCTCTTTCTGTTCGCTTCCAATCAAATCTTCCTAATCTAACTCCTCTTCTAGCCATTTCAACACGTTTTCTTCCATTTTGCGATCCATATTTAGCAATCTGAAACAAAATACCAACAAACAGTAAGTTTACAGTAAATAAATATAATATATAATACAAAAATTAATAAGAAAATATAAATACTTAAATACTCAATTTAAAAAATGTTTCGTTCCTAAGAAGTTCCACCAGTGCACGCGTGGTCGCGTCGCTTCACCGTCACAACGGGGCATATTATTTAAATACATATTAGGGCAGCTAGAAGGCCATGCTGAAATTGTGTGTTCAATAAACAAAGTTGAAACGTGGCAGCAATTAGAAGACATTTTAAAATTAAGATTTGGGCAACTTGAGCATAGAGCAGTGCGCTGCTTTTAGACCTTCAGGAGTGCCGTCAAATGAGTACCGAAGAAGTCGACGAGCTCGTTCTTCGGTTAGAGATATGTTTTTCTAATGACAATTCAAATACAAAAAAAAAAACGCGTTCGCCTCAGCGACAACTTCAAGAAAACCTAAATTTTACTCGAAATGGAATAAATGTACCAAACGGGTCCTATTATCAGGGACCCAGATCTTTTACTACCCCCGTGTGTCGTTAGGTACTGTAGAATTGTAGGTCACACTATTGATGTGTGTCGTAAACGCGAATACAACAACAGACGGTTTGGAAAAAATCGGCAAAAAAGTCATCATTAACTATTGAATGCTAAATCACAAACTTTTGTAAGAACATTTTAAATCATCTTTATGCTTAATATGCTACGTAATAATATTTTAATATTATATATTAATGACAATAGATTATTAAGGAAAAAGTTCTCTGGAATTAATTTACCTTACGTATTGATTGATTTTTATATTATTAATGGTTAATGAAGTTCTGTAGTTTAAGTCGTCTAGATAATTTAAATCTTCCAATATCTGGAATTATCAATATCTATAAATATGGAAACTTTTTCGAGATTCCTCTTGACCCATGGTATGTTACATCCTGCCTGATTCTAACAAGGGACCAACACACGCATACTGCGCCATCAGCTAATCCATTATTTAGCTAATCCATTATTAATACATTTATTTCATTAATTAGTGAACTTCTGTCACAATTTATCGCCGATTCCAAATGGTTGTCTCCAATAATTGTCGCGATTGTACCAGTTCAATAAATGCTTATCTATTTAAAAAGTGTTGCCTTTTCAACCCTCGTAACAGTACGTGCAAATGTACGTATTGTAAGCTTGACAGGAATGAGAAATAAAATAATAACGTACGGAGGTAATATTTAGCTTTATTATTTTACACGTCATTTTGTACATTAGATAATACAGCGGTGAGCGTGGGCGGCGGTTGGACCGGCGTCGCACACGCGAACAAATACGTCTTACACACAGACTGGACATCGTACAATACAATTTAATAAAAATGATCATAGTAGAGTTCCCGCCACGTCCAATTACACAATATCCTGTTATAATCTATCTGTTTCGATGCAGTTTACAACGCGCCTTAGAGTCGAGGTATCTGAAGGAATGTAGAGATCAGTCCACTTTACTTCGTCTGGTATTTAAAGCAACATACTACTTCGACAGCTGGAGACAGTGATATATAATTGGTAATAATCCAGTAATATATGTTGACTGGACAGTTATTTTAATATACGAAACACAAATAATTTCGTTATGGACAATGTGAATTTATTTTATTTCAATTATTTATACTTAACGACTAATTAAAATCGGAAGAACGACATATAACAATCAATATTGGGCGTTGGAAGGCAGAACGTGTAGCGGTGCAGCCGCGCACAGATCTAAAACTAAAATAAATATTTATATATATCAAACAAAATACAATATTCTACACACAGATCTTTATAACCTTGATAAAAAAGATCTTATTGTGTGTCATGGCTTATAAATATAGAATTATTCGCAAATGCGTCATACGATAGCTTGTGGAATGATTGTGGTCATCTTGCGGAACTCGTCTAAGTTAGTTTATCCTGTAATGCTAAATAAGTACTGTTTACTTCAATCACAGCATTTAAGTCGTAATTTCGAGTCGTCGTGACATCGCTTAGTTAATTTATTATCAATAATACCGTTTCTTTTGGGTTAATATTGGGGGTTGGTATTTGCGTTACGACTATTGATGATTATTGTTAATCATTATGCTTTTTGCAAATTTTTAGTAGATACAGGTAATAAAATCATTAAGTGAACAGTTTAAAGGAAACTGTATCCGTACACTAGTCGGCCAGGTATCACACCCCGATATGGCAGATTATTAATGTATCAACAGAGAAAAGAAAGTTTTGCAATTGTTATGTTCTTCAAAATGTCTCAGACGGTGAGGTCGTCCCTTAAAGGCGGTTCACCTGATGTTAAGTGAATATCTCCGCCCATGGACTCAAAACCCGGGGGTTTGACGATATGTCGACAACTTTTAAAGAAATGGAGCCCAGTTACCTCACTCACCAGACGAAACGCGAAAGTATAATACTGTCACTTCACGCTGCTCTTCTACGTGGTACTCCTCCGGACGAGCCTGCACATTCGTGCAACACCAGAATAACAGAAACTGTTGTGTGGTCCTATCACAGTAAAAGGTGATATTTTATGTACAATGCTGTGAATTTGTAAAATCGACTCTCGTTGACTACAGCCAATTAAGAATCGAAATTTGAACGGTTATATAAGGCAAGTACAGAGAGGCAGTAATTGTTAGCTAGTATCCGAAGTGTTGAGACATCAAACATAAGCTAAGATATCGGCTCCATAGCAGGGCCGACCGCAGTCCGCCGTGAAGTAGGAACCGTCGAGGAGTTGGCGCCGGCGAGGATCACTCCGTCCTCACCAGGCGGGGCGAGGCGAGGCGCCTCTCGTGGCGCAGCTTCCTCAGCTCCGAGCGGACCACCCTGGGAAATTCGAGAGACTCGTTTTCGATAGGGCGATAGGTCGGCTGTGGTTTGATTTTTAAATCGGGAAGAACATTTGTACAATATGGACGGTGAAAACAATACATAGAAAAATATTGTGCTCGATGAAAGTGTTTTCTTTTCCTAATTTCTGAGTGGGTGGTATTAAGCGGGGTGAGGGTTCACCTGAGCAGCAGGCAGAGCGCGAGGAAGTCGCAGGCGATGAGCATGTAGAACACGTGCGACCAGCTGCCACAGGAGGACACCACGCCCGCCACCATCGGCCCGATGGCCGCGCCTGCCACACGCCACAACACCTCCGAGGCGGAACTGCAACAGCTCCGCGCGGGAAGTAGCAACGCAAGTAGCCTCGCAGAAAACCCACATCGAGTAAAACTACTTTTGCGTTTGCGTAAGTGAGGTAAACCTGCAACCCTCGAAGTCTATGGTTATCCCTCATGATCTGGTAAATTGTCAAATCATTTTGACACAGCACCGAGTGAAGTATTTTACATTTGAGCGTTTCGTCCGATGATTGAGGTGGGGTGAGTGGCACAGTTTGAATGGTGATGAGCGGAGACGCACCGACGCTGCCGGTGCCGTCGATGATGGCGGTGACGGTGGCCAGCGCCAAGGAGTCGCCCGCCAGGCTGCTGTGCGTGCCTGATGGAGGTATTATTATAAGAATCTATATCGATTAAATTATAAAGGTCGGACGTTGTTGGCATCGAGGAAAACTACTGGATAGATTTCAATGAATTTTTTCCACCTGGCCTTATTTTATCTTAAAACTTATAACGTTTAATTTTAATGTAAAGTTAAAGTTTTAACATGACGAAGATTTCTATGAGCAATACGAGTACGCAAACATTTTTATTTTCTTGCTGTGCTAGAAAATATATATTGTTAATTTATTAAACAACGCAAACGAAATTGCTGGTGGTTGAGATTTACAGTTTTACATTGAACAGAATGTATAAGTCAGCCGCCCTCTGAGATGGCCGAGAACGAATGGCCAGTAGAAGCGGAGTAGCAGTACTGGCGACGGAGGCCCTCACCGAGGTCTGCGCTGACGGCGGTGGTGATGAGCGCGTAGGGCCCGTTCACCAGCAGCCCGCTCGCCACCAGCAGCGCCACGTTCAACGCGTACGAGCTGGCCCCCCACGCCTGATAGGCCAGCAGCTGCCGGTCCGGAGGAGAGGAGTTACCGGTTGGTAATCATTTATATATATGCACACAAAATATATATTAAGGCGGGCTTAGTACCATCAGCATTATCCACTACTCAACCTTTGGGTGGTCCAGAGAAGTCTAAATAGGCATTGGTTATAAAATCCAAGCAGAGAATTATAAAAGAATCATTGAAAAATCAAATTAAGGAATCTAACATAAAATACTAATTTTAGAAAATTAATATAGTTACTAGATTATTGCAATATAGCATACAATAAAATAAACATATTTAAATACACAATACATATATGAATAAATATATACTTATAAGACTGACGATCCAGTGAATCTGTCGAGAATTTGTTACACGCGAGTTTTTTTTTTTAAATCCGAAGAGACTAAGCCGTCCTGATTTCGAAAGGTAAAAACATATGCCACAAAATAATGCATCGGACAAAGAAAGATGAGTACATTATGGCGACACGATGTGTGCCACAAATATGTTGTTTGCTGAACGGGCAAATAACATGAGACCCGGCTGTAACGACAGTCGCTTGCACGCCGACGACATCTACACCGCTCAGCTTGAATATAATTAAGAGTATTTTGCGTTTAGGAGGATCATCATAAGCGTCAATGTAGAATATTTATTTATGTGTAGACTATGATAAAAAGAGTATAATTATGTAATTCGGTTCGGACTTTGTCATTTATATATCCAGCAATAAAAAAACGCACATACAACAAATAAATACATCAAAACACAAATCAGAACAGACGGACGCCGGAGAAGAGCTATGCGTCGAGCGAGGATTTTTATGATGGGTTGAACAAAGATATTTAAAGTGTGGAGATAAGTAAGGAGTAGAAGAAGAATCAAGAAAAGAATAAAGAGTAATTAGTGCTCGCAAGGAGCGACTTTGCCGAGTAGACAATCATTGAAGTTGAGAACGATAGAAAGACACATGGTCACACTTACTAATTATTCCAATAGAAGTCAGACGAGTTTATTGATATAACCTGCATTCAGGTGAAAGTACCACAAATCGCCAAAGTCGATTAAAAAAATTAAGTCTGTAATAATGTAACTAAGTCTGTATAGACGCCGTAAAACACTGACTCTATGACAGACATGTTTAATTCGGAAACTCAGAGTCATGTAAATATGCAACCAATATTTTTATATTCTAGCTGATATGAATAGTAAAGTTGTTAAATATTATTGTTGGAAGATTGCTTAGATTCAATTTAAGTACAGTACGAGATTACTCCCAACGACGGTAGCCTGACACTATTGGGTTACCAATCTATCAGACTACCATTTAATTTAATTTAAGTCTCATTTTATGTCACGAATCACTTCTGAGACGCTATCACAGGTTGCCTGAGCGTGCAATCATCGACATAGCGATGATACGAACACCGAAAATCAAAAGTGATTGGACTTATTAAAATATAGAACAACAGAGGAGAGAGAATACCCTCTTGAGGGACGCCAGTTGCAATTTTAGGCCAGCTTGATGATAATGCACTGATAATACTGAACTGTTGGCGCCCTCGAAGACAGGAAGAAAACCATGCTTTCACCTCATAGGAAACACAAATTCAGTTGTGAGAGGACGGATAAAAGGATGTCGTGACTGACGGTATTAACAGAATTTGAAAAGTCGATTAAGACCATACATAACAATGATTTTAGTATCTTCTGTGCCGGGCCTAATACCGACCAGGCGAGTGGAATTAAAAGGCTATTAGTAAACACCAAGTGAGAAAGTACCCTGGAAACGAAAGGTTCCACCCTTAGTTTCGCACACAAACAGGTCTATAATGAGCGGGAAGTGGAGGAATGTGGTATTTTGGGAGATAATGGACAAGAGTTTTGTACCACAAGAAGAAGGTAATCGATGATGTTATATTCGCCTATATTGGATTTTATAGCGTGGATGTTTTTTTGGTTCGTCCGAAGAGACTGGAGAGAATTTAAACAAATTAAATGGGATATAGTGTCATAGTGTGTATATTAGTGCTTTAAACGGGATACATTGTCACAAGTAATTACATGTTGCATTAAAGGAGTCGTAATAAAATGTTTATTTAAATTACCTAATTTGGTGGAAGTGGGTAGATTTGAGAATCGCAACTTGTCAATAACGATAGTAATAAATTTGTACGTATCTAGCTAGATTGTTAAAGGCGATATCTGTTTTGTGAAGAGCGATAATTTAAATTGTAAATTTTTGTAGATAAATGAACAAAAATTTTCTGAGCAGCTTGATCCGAACGTGTGTCTATCCGTATGTATACAAACAGTAACTTTCTAACGTATACGGTTATTGTCATAAAAAAGCGAAAAGGAAGAACAACTTTTAATTGTGTTGGCGTGAAGACAATACTATGTGTTTCATTATTAGAAAATGGTACCTTTGCGAGGATCGTAATTACTTAGATCGTTAGAGGCGTATACGCATACGACGCACTGACCGTGGGCGCGCTGAGCGCGTAGAAGGCGGCGCAGACGAGGGCGGGGCAACCGGCGCAGTCGGCCAGCAGGCCGGCCAGCGCCGCGCCCGCCACGCCGCCCACGTCGAACGCCGTCGACAGCTCGCCCGACTGCTTCGGCGTCAGCGACGCTGCGACAGACGGCGCTCAGCACGGGCCACGGGCAGACGGGACAGAACGGACAAAGGACCGGGCGCTCACTCGAGGTGTTGATGTAGAGCGGCAGCCAGTACAGGAACGTGTAGCTGACCAGCTTCGCGAAGAACAGCGACAGCGAGAACTCCACCACGCCGGGGATGGCGAGCGCGCGCGACAGCGACACCGCCCCGCCCCGCTCACCCCCGCCCGCCCTCCGCAGCAGCGCCGTGCCCTCGTGCGCCTCCGCCTCCTCCTCCCCCGCGCCACCGCCCTGCGCACGCGCGCGCCCACCCCATGGTGCCGAAAGTGAAGAAATAGATCGATACATCAATATCGCCCTCGATATACAGCGTGGCTTTTCTTAAGGTGCCCAAATTCACACAGGAGGTTCGGACTCGGTAGTCTAATCGTTTATTGAAATAAAAACACAACGTTTTTTTTCTCAAATTGCCATTCCATTCCCTTAAAACAGAACTTGTTGACAATGCGATAGTCATTCATAAATGCGTGTATTAGTTATGAATGATCGCGCGTAAAATAAATGAGTTGCCCATAAATCAAGCACTTTTTGAGATAAGTTCAAATGAATGTATTTAATTAATTACAAGTTTTTTTTTATATTTATCATTTTTTATATAGCATTATTCATGTCTAGAATTTAATTTAAAAAATGGATACACTTAGAAAAGCCTCCCTGTACAGAAGAGAAAATACCGATATATCGATTTCTTGTTTATATTGATGATTATTTATTTGAAATCTACAAACTCTGTGCGGGATCCGAATTAGAAAAAATATCGTTTTTGATACGATATTGAATATTTTATGTCGATATATCGCATCAAAATATCGATGTATTTTTATCAGAAATATCGATATATCAATATTTTTTCGTTATCTCTACCCGCGGTCCCGATTCTCGCCCGTGCCTCCGTCGCAGCGGCAAGGTGCACGGGACGCGCATACATTGGATGATACAAAATTTATGGTCGATGTAAGTTGATGATGAGAAAATGTTACTAATACCGGATGCACTTAATCGCCATTAACAATGACGTGAACAGCAACAGCATGATGGTTAGAGGCCGAAGAGTGAAGCGCAAGCCAGTTAGAGCGTGGAGGTATAAAAAGTAGGTCTCACCGGCGGTGCGTTGGCCGAGTGCCTGTTGGGCCGCAAGCTCGCCGCCTGGGGGCGCGTGCGGTCAGCGAACAGCAGGTGCGAGGGAGGGGCGGTGCGTTAGTAAGTGTCAAGTAGTACCCCCCCAGTAGTTGCCCCCAGGTGCCCGAACCGAGGGTGAGAACTATCGGTTCAGACGCCTGGAAGCTGCCGACCTAAACGGTCGCTCCACACCACCGAATGTATGTCAAAAGACGCGCAAAACTGTAATGCCCCTGCCAAATTGTGTCAAATCATTGCGTGCGCGGGAAGAGTAGCAATCTCATTCTCACCGCAGTTTACATGGCTTTATGTCCTGTTCCCACTACATGTTAATAGTTTTTCGCCAAACCTATTTTTATTTCATTCGATAGGACAGGCGCAGAACTCGTTGAACTGACTTGACTAAGGAGCATTTGAGGTTTGCGCGGCCTTTACATATATATACCCTTTGTTATCAAGATACGCCGTCTAACTAACAAAATTCGTTAAAATACATTTGCTTTTGCTGTCCAATTTTTTGTCCGAAAAATATTAAATTTATTACACAATTCCATAATCGATAATGTATAAAAACATTATTTTAGCTTGTTCGACTCCAGGAACATGATATTTGTGTAATCATTCAACATTTTAATCATTACCAATATTTATAGGCGGTTTTCAATATAATATTGTTGAACAGAAAACACTATTATTTTAAAAATTATCGCATTATACTAATATTAGCAAATGCTTATTAATGCACACTCATGCGTTTTCTATGGTAAAAATTATTGAACTACCGTCTTCTTATTATTAATGTCTAATATTTAGTTTGTTATACAGAAAGAGAGCTTTAGTTCGAAAACACTAACATTTTGTAACGTTTCGTTTAGTAAGTCATGGTTCAAAAGGTCGAATCTGAGCATGGCATGCATTCGTACCTGGTCGCCGACGATCACCTGCGTCGGTTCCTCTTCATCTTCCAACCTTCGCGACGGCCTGGACTGCGGCGGGCGCACCACAAATACAAAGTTGTGATTAAACAGCACAAGAGAAGTATGCCCCGAGAGCACCGGAGATTGCAATTAAATTGTATATCTAAAAATGCAACACACAAATCCGGAAATGCATTCTCAAATAGTATGTGAAAATGACTTTTGGTTCGATCATAACTTATCTTAGCTGGATACATTTATCCGTGAAAAACTTTGATTCAAAAGGGAACATGGACGAAACCGCCGTTCAACACACAGGAGGTCTGACCTCTGGGCGCGGCGCCACCGCCAGGCCCACGTGGCGAGGCTCGGAGGGCAGGAAGAGCCACACGAAAGCGCCGACCACGCCCATGCCCAGCGCTGGGTACACGAACGACAGCGCCCAGTCGCGCTCAACGAACTCCGCCGCCAGCACAGTGCCTGATTATACACATATCAGGTCCTAGATAATTGTTCAGTGTTGAACCGTGTCATATTTTTCTTAAATAAATAACACATTTCCCTCCCCTTGTTCTGATTCGTATATAAAGAAGAGCGTATTCGGCCGTAACATAATACCAATAGTGTTATGTAAGTGTTACGGATTGTGCGTTCTACTCTTTTCCAAGAAGAGTAACATTACCGCATATAGTCATTGTTCCGATTCTTAGTATTTTCCTAGTGCAGTATCTGTTTGTGTGGAGTATCAGGCGAGTCGGTAAACATTAGAGGAAATAAAATGGGACCCAGCACATTTCCTTGGGGCACGCCACGAATATTTCAAGCCAACTCACCCAATATGTTCCCGAGGGACGTGTGCGAGTTCCATAAGCCGAAGATGAGGCCTTTCTTGCTGTTGCCGAACCACTTGCCCACGGTGGCGACGGTGCCCGGCCAGCCAGTCGTCTGCGCTATGCCCGCCCCGGCCTCCGAACAGAATCACAAATTACACCATATACTACTTCACTCGAAATGTTCACGCCCTTGAAATGAAAACAATAGCCTTTCTGCGGGCTTTGTGTCCGATGGAACTTTCCTTATTCCTCAACACATCATCATCCAACAAAAAAAGACAAATTGCAAATTGCACATGCTCTTGTACGCAAAAAAGGACACGAATCGATTGGTTACAACAATTCGAAATTTAATCACTCTAATCGAGGACGCTGGTCTTACACGTTAAGTTTTGAATCGATTAATTACAAAGGAAAACCAGAAGTAAAACCATTACGAATAAGTTTATCCGACTCATTGGTCAAAGCAACGTTACTTATCCAGATCTGGTCTATTTGTGACACAGTATTTATTATTACCTGCACCAAGAGGTAGAAGGAGATGGAGTGGATGCCAAGCGTGTGCCCCAGCCCGAACAGGTAGCAGAAAATGGCGGACACCAGCATCCCCAGTGAGAGAAAGTAGCGCAAGTCTACCCGTTCGGCCACCATTCCTATTAGAGTACAAGGAGAGTTACTCACAGCTGTTGCTTAATTGACCCATAAAGCAAGATATAAGATTATAGAGAATATATATCTAATCGAATAAGATGAACAGGATCATAAAACACAAGCCATACCAACCAGAAACGAACATGGCGCCCGCGTAAGAGAAAAGGAAGGCAGAGTCTAGAGCGCCTAACAATGTGTTTGCGTCGCTCGTATCTGAAAGACAAAGTTTATTTATAAAAATATTATTTTTGTGGCATATTTCATAAAAACTGTGTTATTTTAAAAATAATATAAAATCATGGTTGACCACGAGAAACCAGAGGCACTATGTAAAAATGAATTAATGTTACCTATACAGGGAGATTTTTTGAGAAGTGCCCAAATTTTCACAGGAGGTTCAGACTCTGTAGTATAATCGTTTATTGAAATAAAAAAAGTAGTTTTTTTCCAAAAAAAATGCCATTCTATTCCCTAAAAAACAGAACGTGTTGACAATGCGGTAGTCATTCATAAATACCTAAATTTTACTGTGCACGAACTTGTATGCGTGTTAGTTGTGAATGATCGCGCTTAAAATAAATAAGTTGCGTATAAATCACGCACTTTTTGAGATAAGTCCAAATGAATGTAATTAATTACTTACGAGTGATTTTAAATATTTTTATCATTTTTTATCTAACATTATTTATATCTAGAATTTAATAAAAAACCTTAGAAGAGCCACCCTTTATATTGTTAATCGCAATAAATTTTAATTTATTTCATTAAATAAAATGTGTGTAAATGTAAATGTGTCTTTCCAGTGTCAGGGTGCTCATCATTTAGATCGGTGCAATCAAACGTTGTTAACAGTAATAACATTATAATTTATTTAGCAAATAATGTTTACATTATAACATTATGAAGTCAATCAATGTACAAACACATTTGACCCAGTAAGACAGTATACAAGGCGAAGGGGCAAATCTAGTGCAAGTATAATATCTTGGTAAATTGTTATGAATAGATAAACTATTATTGTACCAAACACATGTACAATACATCTTCAAGATGTATTCGACCTAATGGGTCTGTTGATCACGAAATATAAGACCTAGATGTAGCCTATTGAGCTTTTAGTGAGTTGGTCGCACTCACTGAAAGGAGCCCAGTTGCACCACTGGTCATCGGCGGGGTCCACGCCCGGCGGCGGCTGCAGCCCGCTGCAGTTCTGGTGCAGCACACTCTTTACCACCGAGATCGGCTTGCGAGTCAGGTGGTACGTCATGTATGTGAAATACGTCAGCACTAGAACGGTCGCCTGGTACCTGGAATGTCGGCGCTAGTATAGCGGGCATCATTCCAACCCAGGGAAAGAGAGTCGTTGATACAATATAATACATAAAATTCTCGTGTCACGGTGTTTGTAATTGAACTCCTCCGAAACGGCTCGACCAATTTTCGCGAAATTTTGTGCGCATATCGGCCAAATTTATTTTTCACCCCCTAAATGTTAAGGGTGATCCACCCCAAAATTTTTTTTACCCTACAATTAATTTATACGGCAAAACAAGGTTTGCCGGGTCCGCTAGTTTAATATAAAAAGCAATCATGGTTTCCCTCGAGCAACGTGTGGCCCTTGTCAATTGAGACAATTTATCAGATGCTTTACATATTTATGGCATATTATCAGACAATTCTTAATATTACAGCTGTACGTGGTAGACTAAGCACTTATGCCTTATTTGACCGAAATCTATTGAATGAGTGAATTTTTTTTTCCAGCAATAACCGAATCTGTATCGACCCGCAGTAACACGTTTTTACCTACACTATTTTCATATACATATCTATTAAATACGCATATTTCGCATGCGTATTTAATACATAAAATCCGTTAAGCGAATTATCAGTAATTTCATTATCTTTATGTATTTTAATGTATCATCGGCTCCAAACAAGTCGTTATTATATTCCATATCATCAACGAATTATTTCAACAAAAAGGGTGATGGAAAAAATCCTATAGCAATAAATTGATTCCACTAACATGAGAAGTTTTTTACTACTATTTTTTTATTCTTGTCGATTGGTATTAACGCATATTTCTAAAACATACGTAATACACACAAAAATCTAGCGCATATTTTTTTAATTTTACTAACTATAAATCCAACTGCAACGTCCCAGTAGACATTGAAATCGTACAAATCGCATTATGAGTAAAAATTAAAAGTAAAGTGACAGCCTATATAGTCTTAGAGTATACCCATTACTTACTTCACATATTTTTGAAATATATTTTATTATAATTATATTTTGTTATAATTTCGAAAATATGCAGGTTTCTTCACGATATTTTCCTTCACCGCTGAGCAGTCAAGAATTAAAATTAACAATTTAATTGGTGCCGGCAACGAGGATTGAACCCAGGTTGCTCTAGTATATTGAATTAAAAGCGAGCTCCCTGTGAATGAGCTATCATGGCGAATTATAACAATACTATATTAAACAATAAATAATCATCATTATCATCATTATTTCCGCCTGTTAGAGCCCACTGCATCCATCGACTACCCGCACACTAATCATAAACAGTAAACAGTCGTCACTCCATCTAGTCGTAATCTTATCTTCTTATATATAAAAATGAATTGCTGTTTGTTAGTCTCGCTAAAACTCGACCGATCGACAGCTGGACCGATTTGGCTAATTTTGGTTTTGTAATATTTGTGGCAGTCCAGGGAAGGTTTAAACGATGAGAAATTATGGAAATATTGCATGGAAAATCGAAATAGCAACAATTTTATTTTCCATACAAACTGTACCTGTCACCTATGGCTGTGTAACCTGTCAAACACTTTATGCAAAAAAAACGTTTGCCGAGTCAGCTAGTAATAACAATAAATATAACACATCAATTACGATTTCAATTATGACGATATTTAACGTTTTAAAAGATAGCTATACTTTATACATGTTTATATTCATTTATTTTTAGCTGCAAGACGGTCTTGTAGACGACCGTTGCTAATTCAATCAATACTGTCAACTGACTTCCGGTGAAGGAGGTAGCAATAGTAAGAATAAGGTTTGCAGATGTTTTTCCATGTATTCAAGGTGCAATATAAGGTTACCCTAACATTAAAATTTGTAGAAAAAAGGGACAAAAAGTTTTTCGCCGCTGCGGGAATATAAACTCGTCTTCGGGATTCGCGCCCAGACGCTTTAACCTAGTGGTTAAAGCGTCTGTGCGCGAAAATACGCCGTTTAGCTTAGTAGCTAAACGGCGTATTTTATATACATTGTTTTTTTCGCTAACTATAATACGAATGAGAGAAGAAAGTATAAGTCTAGTTGGCAACGTAGGTTCAAATGCGATAACTTGCCTCTTAAACTATCACCGACAAGCTGTGTTTATTTTTTATGCGACGTCTAGGACTCTATTTTTCGCCGGTGCAGGAATTTGGGTCGTGCCAAGCGGCTGCCGACGTCACGAGCCGCTGACAGATCCCGTGGTTTTGAACAAAACCCATCTAGATATATCAATTGCCGTAGAGGATGGCAACACCAGATACATATTAGCCGGATAAAAATACTAATACTTAACATGAATGAAATGAAATAAATCTCACGCAATTATAAAAGGGTGTTGACTGCCATTCCTCAACACATTTAACTGGCTAAAATAAAAAAAATACGGGGCAGTCTTTGGGGACTGCCGATAAAAGTGGAAACTAAGTAAGTTAACAATAATTATTTTTAACTTAATTATATAATAATTTTATTATTACATAGGGTAAAATTTTGAAACGAGTCGCCTTCGTAGGTGGACCAGGGGTGGGTGGGGGGACCAGGGGTTGGAGTGATGTGTTGAGTCACCCCCCACTTGCCGGAAACGCGTAGTTTTTTTATTATACAATTCTTAATTTTATTTATTTAATACAATCTAATAAGAATGTCAAGAAATCTAATAAGAATGGGAGGGTTCCCCTCCTACCTGTTGTTCTTAACCACACTTAACAACAGAAACGCTAATGGGTAGTTAAAAAATAACCACGAAGGTTCGTGGTTATTCTAACCTAATCTGTCCGAGTCTGATGGCACTGTGTCGGACCAGCAACTCATTTAATTTTAAAAAAAATTTGATCGAAAAAGTTGTACGAGTATGAAGTTTCCCATTTCCTATATTTATCATGTTGGCAGTTGGTGTGTGCAGTTTTATTAAAATTAATAAAATGTGCGTACTTTCTCAAGACGAACTTCGTCTAACTCTAAGAGCTGGGCCAAAATGGAGAAGGGTAGGCCAAGAGAGGCAACAGTGGAGGTCGTTGGAGGAGGCCTTTGCCAATAGGCACACTGAGCTACGGGACTTTCTGTAGTTTATTTTATTTATTAATTTAGTATAGTTTAAGAACCTTTAGCGCTCGGAATAAAGTGCTTTATTATTATTGGGGTGGTATTCATTTGTTTTCTCGTCTGGTTGGGTTTATAAATAAAAATAAAAATAAAGATATAGATATATATTGCATATATAAAATAAATATTATGGATAAAAATAAACATATATATATATATATATATATATATATATATATATATATATATATAAATAAATATTTTATATAATACATATATAAATAGGACCCAAACAGACGGAAGCCCTCGGCAGGGGAGACCAAACGGCCGAGGGTTAGGGCGAAAGGGAGAGAAACCGGCGGACGATGCGGGCGGTATCGAGGAGCACCGCCTTCTGCATTTGAGCCTGGAGCGATCCGTCCCGGAGTCCCAGTCGCCTCAGATGTTTAGAGAGGCTGACTGGGATCAACCCATTCGCAGACACGACTATCGGGATAATTTCGGTCGGCACACCACCCCACATGTCGGTCACCTCGTGAGCCAGGTCCAGATACTTCGTCTTCTTATCTGTTTCGGCTTTCACGAGGTTCTCGTCATATGGAATGGTAATGTCGACCAAAAATACCCGCGACTGTGCCCGGTCCATCAACACGATATCAGGTTTGTTCGCAACAATTGTCCTGTCCGTGATGATGGACCGGTCCCAATAGAGCCTGGCGCGGTCATTTTCGAGCACGGCCTCCGGAGAGTACTTATAATACGGCAGTTTCCGTTCCACGAGGCCGTATTTCAGAGCGAGCTCCTGGTGTAGGATTCTGGCTACTAGGTTGTGTCTATGCAGATACTCAGAGTTAGAAAGCATAGAACAACCGGAGATAACATGCCGAAGCGACTCCCCGGGATGGCGACAAGCTCGACAGATGTCGACGGTGCCATCCTTTAGGATGTATCTCCTATAGTTGTTCGTCTTAATAACCTGATCCTGTATCGCACAGACAAAACCTTCGGTTTCCCCAAAGAGGTCACCGAAACGTAGCCAGTTCAGGGAGGCAACAGTATCTACGAAAGGCTCGTGTAGAGCCTTGTAGAACCTCCCGTGGAGCTCTTTCTCCTTCCATACAGCCTCTCGGTCGGAAACGCTCAGTACTCCCGGGTCCTGCCATTGCTCGTTGGCTAAGGATAGAGGGGTAAGTCCTTTATCACAACTAATGACGTCCGTGTAGATTGACTCATCCGATCTCGCCAGAAAGTAGTTACGGAGGCTGCACACCTCGCGATTGTGCATGGTGAGGGCGCTTAAAAAGCCCCTCCCGCCATGCCTCCGCGGAAGGTACAGCCTCATCACTGACGATCTCGGATGATGCATTCTGTGGGACGTCATAGTTGTGCGGACTTTTCGGTCCAGGGCGTTGAGCTCAGTTTGAGTCCATCTGAGTATGCCAAAGGTATACATGAGGACTGGCATGACCCAGCCGTTAAAAGCACGTGCCTTATTCCCGCCTGACAAATGGCTATTAAAAACCTTTGTCAGGCGTGCAAAAAACACGTCACGAACTGACTGTTTCATGCCAGCCTCATCGATACACATATTTTGTGACATACCCAGGTATCGGTATGTTTCAGCCTCAGAGAGGGTCCTTATGTTAACGGGCATAGATAAGTCTATGCCCTCCGTATTAGTGACCTTACCCCTTTCGACATGAAGGACCGCACACTTATCCGTCCCGAGCTCCATTTTGATAGAATTGCTGAAATCACAAGTGACTTTAAGCAATTCCATCAAATGGGAGCGATTGGAGGCGAATAACTTGAGGTCATCCATGTAGAAAAGGTGGGTCACTTTTGTCCCTCCTCTCCGAAGCTGAAATCCTCCCCCCGAGCCCTCCAGTAATGCGCTGAGAGGATTCAGGGAGAGGCAAAACCATATTGGACTCAAACAGTCGCCCTGGAAAATACCCCGTCGTATCCTTATCCGGTATTCCGCAGCCGTCATCCGCTCGCCTAGATGACAAAGGATCGTACTCCATTGCCCCATACAGTACCCGAGGAAGTCTCTTACTGTACAGTCTACTTTGTACAGTTCGAGGACCCTCTTTAGCCATGTATGGGGCACCGAGTCGAACGCCTTTCTGTAGTCTATCCAGGCGGCGGAGAAGTTCCGACGGTTGCGTTTAACCATTTTGCCAATGACCGCGTCGATGAGAAGTGGTTCCTTGGTTCCACGACCACCGCCCCGACATCCATTCTGAGCACGAGACATAATCCGATTCATATTAATATGCCGGGTGATTCTCATGCTCAGAATAGATGTCAGTGTCTTATAGATTGTAGGTAGACACGTTATGGGGCGGTACTTACTCGGGTCTGTGGTAACCTGATCTTTAGGAACCAAATGAGTGACCCCAGTAGTAAAGAGGCTCGGGAGCGACCTCTGATCGAGAGCCTCTTGGAACTGTCGGGCGAGCACAGCATGACACACCACGAACCCCTTCAGCCAGTAGTGATGCAGCCCGTCGAGTCCCGGACTTTTCCAGTTCGGGGCTCTACGGACTGCCTCAGATACGTCGTCGGGTGTTATGACGACGGGGTTCATGGGTGTAATGTCTGCACATTGGCTCGCCACGACTTGTGTCCAAGGGCCCTCGCTGTGGTCTACGGGCTCTGACCACAGGCTGCGCCAGAAGGCGACAGTGTCTGCCTGGTCCGGTCCTTGGCCCGTTCCACAGCTCATTGGTCGCTCCAACGATTTGTAGAGCCTCTTTTGGTCACTCTGGAAGAGGCGATTCTGGCTAAACCGCGCCGTCCTCTCGGTATATCTCCGAATCCGCTTCCCCCAAGCAGCGATCCTCTGCTTCAGGTCATCTATGCGCTCCGTTAGTTTTTGCGTAATATCCGGCTGGGACAAGTTGATGTTGGTCCCAGCGAACGCCATCCTAACGGTGCGCACAATTCTGGGCCTATTATTGCCCGACCTGAAGCTTATCAGCCTGCCGATGATGGCCCTTACCTTTGCGATACGGTCCTCAATTCTTCTTCTCCATGCTGGGATAGTGCTACCTGGTCTGGTAGCACGTCCAGCCTTGGGAAGTTTGGCGCCAACGATTCGGCATACTGCCAGTGCAGCGCCAAAGAGAATTGAGTCCGTATCGCAAAGATCCCGGCTAGCTTCCAAATAGGTTGCCAGCATCGGGTTAAGAGACCTCACGACAGACCGACTCCGCTTACTTAGGGGTATGCGGGGGAGACGTGGTCGATACTCGAGAGGCGTTTCGCGCACCTCCAGAATTGCCTCCTCCAATATACTTCTCATCTGCTCTATTTCTTGGGCGACTATTCCATCATCGCACGAATCTACAGGAGCCGGGGGGTAAAACGCGGCCTCCGCTTCCGCTTGTAACCCTGCGAGATCCGAAGGTTGCGGGGTCGCATTTCCGGCTACTGCATTCTCATCCGATGAGGGAACAGCCTCACGTCGAAGTCGTTCGAGCTCGGCATCATCAAATATTTTTGAGCGCATGATGTACCGAACTCTGTCTGCTAGGTTTTGCTCCGTGACGGTTAAAGATGGCTCCAGCTCAGCAAAAAAGCGATGCATCCTTGCCCGATACGCAAACCCTCCAGTTTCACTCCCTTTTGCCCTAAAATACGCCCGCATTGCGTTCTGATTCATTTCAGACGTCCAGCGCAAGCGGCGTATTCCACCAGCGGCGGGTGCCGATTGCTGGATCCGAGAGGATCCTGCCGACACCAAGCCGACTGGTGGGGATGATGGATGCGAGGTACTGCTTGGTGGTCGTGCAGTACCCCGCGCTCGGCTGGCGTCCCGCATGCTGCCACGTCCAGCGCCAGCTCCAGACGCGCCCTGGCGGCCCCCAGGCAGCGGCCCTATGCGCGTTCTTCGATTTTCCATCATCCATTTTAAGGTGGGGCGTCGTTTAACGGAAGATGCCCCCAGACCGGCACCGTATTCTGGGATATGGCCATATGCACAGACGGGCCTATGCGCCCTCACTTTTGCCGAGGCACGGTGCTAACACCATTGGCAAGGCGCAGACTGATTGCGCCGACGTAACAGTTCTGTCACTTGAACTGTTACGCCGGTGGGCGATGGGGTCGTCACTTCCCTACGCCATTTATTTTATTATTATTATTATTATTACTTTCTTAGTGAAAATAACAAGATTTAATTTTTTTTCTCCTAAACTGAATGCGACCGGTGACTTCTACTTGTTGATTTATTAGTGATTTTTCTCTATCGTTTAATTTTTTTTTATTATTCGCATCTTCGAAAACACTTAAAAAATTGTTAATACTTCTTTAAGTTAAAAATAATTGATATACCTATATAATAATTAAAATAAATACAACGCCATGGTTTTTGTTCACACAAAAAGTGCTCAATGTTCCTAAAGAAGTTTTCGCTTAAAAAAAAAACTGAAAACTATGGAAATTTCCCTCCACATCAACTAAAGGGTTGCAGTTACGTAAAAAACTTTTAGTAGTGTGGGCATTGGAAACCTTACTCATAGGACAAAAGTATAAATACTTCTACTATATGCTGGTCTTCCATTAGACCATTCTCTGGATGTTTTATATGAATATTAGTTCTGTTAGATAACATCTTGAAAGAACCAAACACAACTAAAAAGTAGAAAAATGACTATTTATTTCATAAAGACCTGCCTAGTGCTTGACTGGTATCCCACCATAATGGCAACTGACGATGCAGCTGTAGATGTCTACTTAGTTCTTAACTTTTTATATTGCACTGAAGTAAACTGTTAGAAGTAAATATCAAATATCCGTTTTATTACTAAATGCAAAGATAAAAAATCATCAATGTTTATGATTAGATAACAAAAACATTTCAGTTAATTACATTTAGTTGTCAACCTTTGATAACAAAATAGTTTAATAATCAAGTAATCAAGTGTCACATTAAATTATGAGTGTGATTGTTTCATTTGAAATATAAATATTATTTACATAATTTAAATGGTTATTACACAAGCAGAAAGCATACATGTACAATAGCTTATTGTGTAGAAAGTAATGAGTATAACTCAATTTGTTAATTTTTTTTAAATAATTAACTAGACTGCAAATGTCAACTTGGTTGTAAAAGCACTAGCTCAATAAATGATTTGTTATAACAGATTATTATGGTTTTCATCAGTTACAACTATTTGGTATAAAAGATTATAAGCTATAGAATTCGAATATCTTATGAAATGTAGCATGTAAGATTTTAGTTTGTTTTTTTACAAGTCTCTGTGAAGTAGTTATTAGATGTATAAAAGTTTCTACTTTTGTATAGATCTGAAAATTATTAAAGTTAACTTACATAATAACCTAGGCGTGAGTCATAATTGTAATGTAACACTCAACCCGTAAAGTAGGACACAACATAACACCTCATTGATTGTTTTCATTATTCAAACATGTTATGAAAATATAATTCACCTTGATTGTATATAACTTTGAAATTTTATCTCATTGTAACATAAACTATGATAATGAACATTAAAAGAGCTGCACCCATACATACATTTGATATCATGTAACAATCATTATTTGTGGTACTGAGGACAGTGCATATTTATCAAAAACAAAATATTAAAACTTTTTGAAAAAGTACGAAAAAATTGTCACATATGGGAACCCAACTTTAATATTTTATTCTTACTTTAATATTCTATATACTTAACAGGAAGTATTTATGGTTGTAGCAGCAATAGAAATATATCATCTGTGAAAATTTCAAGTATCTAACTGTCACAGTTCATGAGATACAGCCTGGTGACGGACTGACAGACAGATGGACGGACGGACCGACGGATGGGCGGACAGACATACAGCCAGACAGAATTTAAATTTCTAAAAGGCAATGGTGACATGTCTTGTTTGAATTATTGTTGTTAAACGATCTTTAACATTGTTTGTATGTTCGAAAGGATATAACAATGGATATGCCAAGCATTGCTTCACATGCTAAAAAACAAAAAACACACCAAAAACAAACAAAAGATAAAGGATGTTGAGAATTTCGTCGTTGTGGCACAAATCCCGAAAATGTGGGTTTGATTCCCACAGCGGACAAATTTTAATTTAAAGAAAATGTTTAAGAAGTTCTAATCTAAAACTTATTGTTTTTATAACAGTATTTGGCAACAGGTGTTATCTGATGGTAAGCTATTACTGTTTCTGGCATTCAGCAAAACCAAAAGCATTAATGGTTTGTTAGCCTTTTAGAAGCTTGTAAAAATATTTATATTCCACGCTGGTTTACTGTAAGGCCTTCACACTACCCCGGTTAAGCCACATACTGTTAAGCAACACACAGAACCTCTTTGAGGCTTAATAATAGAAATAACAAATATTATACAATAATATGTAAAATAACAATTTTTATATAACTAGTACTCACCATCTTAGCCTGTTTATATGCAGTCGTGGACAAAGCCACCCGCTAAGTCTTTGTAAGCACTGAATACCGATAGGTGCATCTCGACTTACACCGGTCATTTTGAAACACTTTCTTCGCATTAAGTTCCTGAACAATTCTAATAGTGCGCCCTTCATACACGCTCACAATTTTTAAATACTGCATTCATTGTTTTTAGTATAACAAAATTCTTTGTTTACGGTTACAAGGTACCTAACAATTCGCGGTTTATTTAATTTTTATTTATAAATATTAGCCGTGGTTGGATTGAAAATTTTGTAAATCTGATTTTAATTATTAAAATTAAATTTGAATTACGAGGTATATTTAGCTTTATAAAAGAATCACTTTACGAATTTTATTTTCATTGACTGACACGTCTTCTATCCACAAGTCAATGAATGACAACACATTGACAACTGACAAGTTGATATTCTAAATTCTATGTCAAATACTCCTATTAATACGGCAAAGGCAACCTTGAACATAAATGTCTATTGATCTTAAAACCTAAAATAGGATTTCTTTTATTTAATACAAATGAAATTAAAATTATCAACAAATGAAATTATATTATGGCTATCATTTTACTCAATCACACGGCTTATTAGACCTGGGCCTTTAAAAATCCTAAAAAGTATAAAACGCTTATATCCCCACCATATTTTGAATGTCTTTTTGAATCCTTATCTTAACTTCTCCTATTGAATATAATTTAGGAATTAAAATTTATGATCATTATAATTTCTTGCATTTACGCGATTACACATTATTAAATGAAATTATGTTTACGGATTTATCACGTTTATTTTGGTTTTAATACCTGACGTTTTTTTATTATCATTATTAAAATTTATGATTATCATAAATTTATTTCACATTTAAAACGACAAAACAGGCACAGGATAATTACACCTAAATAGATGCTTCAAAGAAAAGTACTGTTGTCTTCCACCACACCAACAATACAATATAATTCAAAAATTAAACTTCCTCCCATAGTTCCTGTTTTCACTAGAGAAAGTTTTTTCATATAGGTTTGGTCTTTTAATGAAGTTACCAAAAGTTGCGATTTTCTTAAATTCATCGAGTTCTCTGCCGATACTAGCCCATTCGCCATTAAAGTCAAAGACTAGTATCCTAAATCAAACTCAAACTAAAAATATCTTTAGTCAAATAGACACTTGCGCGTTCTTATGAAACGTCTAATTTTACTTATAAATTGATACAAAGTTCGTAAGTAAGTTACCACCTATTATTTCCAAAACATGTAATGCAATCTGGAACTACTTTAAAAACATCATCATCATTTCAGCCTGTTCGCCTCCATTGCTGAACAATGGCCACAGACCGCCACGAAACACGATCCTTAGCCACCGGCATCCATTGATTTCGCGCACATTTGCACAGGTCGTCAGTCCATCTAGTGGTAGGGTCGTCCTACACTGCGATGGCCAGTACGACGCGGCCAAAATTAGTGCTTTTCTAGTGTCTGGTTATATATCTATAGTACTGTTTATATATCTATAATTTGTATTTATTTACAAAAGAAAGACCTCTTCCGCCGAAACTATTAAAGCTGCCGCAAAACTATAATTTTAACCTGTTGGAATCCATTACTGAACATAGGCCTCTCCCAGAGTCCGACGCTAAGTACGAGCCTAAGCTACTTGCATACATCGACTTCAATTACCTCGAATCTGTCGAAGCTTGGGCTATACTCCAGGCTCTTCAGCGGTGCCAAATTAAAGGCTACTATGCACGTCAAAGTACATTCCAGTAGTACTAAACCTATCTAAATGTAGAAGGCTGTAAGGTAGGCTGATATCATATTCATGACACTGTTGATGATGCTTGAAGCATCACCCAACCCTCTGGTGGTAAGCGCAGCAAATTACCAACCCGACACAAACGCGAACGTCAACAAGCGTCGCCCGCGAAACGTCCTAATCGACCCGGTCGAGGAAGGCGACTTAGATACGTTAGACCCACCGCCGGGGGTCCAGCCGATAACACTACACCCACAGCTAGTGTAACAACAAACACAATAGTTCGCCCTCGCCTCCGAGCACGGCGAGAGCAACACAACGCGTACACAAGGTACACCCGCGTTCTCGGGCGGTTCTCACCGCCCCCAGCCACCGATTAGCTAAAACACAGTCGACGGCCATCGGGGTCTCGGTCCGCACCGCAACTTCGATGGCCCTTAGATGACATGTCGTAGTTAAACGCACGCATGAGCACATGCGCGGCCATACCCACAGCGGAGGGCCCAAACCCGTGGGTTCTGGCTAGCCCACCGGTTCTGCGTCAGATGAAGCTTTAATAGTCTCGGGACTGAAAGCAGAAACATCAGTTAATACAAGATACAAGATTAAAGCATCTGAATTAGAAAGAAAGTGGTGTTAACAATTTACATTACAAATAACTTTATAAAATGAGCTTAGTTCTGCAGTCTTCCGAGATTCCCGCCTAAAATATTACTGTTGACCCACTGTAGAGATAAATTTCCTAAACGCACCCGCGTCGCTCACTATCCGGGACATCGATAGACCCTTCTAGAATCCAATCTAAATCTTATTTGTAAATTTCTTTTTTCCAAAATCTGCTAGAATTCATTTTAATATTAAAAAGCTTGCATATTGCAATTTAAAAACATAATTCCAGTAAATTATTATAGCAATATCGCAATATTTTGTAATATTGCTTAGACTTTATTAATGTGTATATTTGTTTTTGGGTGTATAAAAACTATAAAGTGGCTCTTAAGCCACTCTTATTTATTATACATACATTTTATCCATATAAAAAGTTGCCTGGAAGAAATTATTGTTAGAAATAAGGCCATCCGTTATAATCTTGAGCTGTTGTAAAGTTTTATTCTAGTTTCTGATATATGGTATGCAATAAAAAAATAAATAAATTATAATAGTTAATAAAAAAATAGAGCCGAGAGATAACTCAGTTTACAATTAAAGGCGAGCGCCCGGACGCTCGCCTTTAATTCAATATACTCGAGCAACCTGAGTTCGATCCCCGGTGCCAGCACCAATGAAGTTTTTAACTTTAAGTGCTGACTTATCACGTGCTCCGCGGTGAAGGAAAACATCGTGAGGAAACCTGCATATTTTCGAAATAATAACAAAAAAAAAATTTCGAAGATATGTGAAGTCCGCCAACCCGCAGTGGGGCCGCGTGGTGGACTATGCCCCGATACCCTCTGTATAGAGGAGGCCTTTGCCCAGCAGTGGGACATGTATAGGCTGTTACTTTACTTTTTACTTTATGCAATAAAATATATTAATTATTTTTTCATAATAGCATTTATTTGTAATTTGTAAAACATGGTACAAAATGTTAAAAGATGTTCAAAATCAAAATCAAATGTATTTATTCAACATAGGAGCATTACACTCACTTATTGATAGTCAAAACACTACCACCGGTTCGGAAAAGAAAGCCACTGTACTGAGAAGAACCGGCGAAAGAAACTCAGCGGGCTTTTTTTTTTTAAATAAGCAGTTTGACATAAATTCGTTAAAATACAATATAAGAACTCCGATTGAAAGAGCCTGGAGCGATCAGTTCATTACCAGAGTGTGTTATCATTTAAATAATCATTAATATTATAGTAGCCTTTAACACACAAACCCTCTTTTACTATTTTTTTAAATTTAGCTATTGATGCATTTTGAACGTTTTCCGGAATTTTGTTGTAATAACGTATACATTGTCCCATAAAAGATTTACTTATTTCACGCAGTCTACTTGTGGGTAGGATCAATTTATTTTTGTTCCTAGTATTTATATCATGAACATTATTATGTCTTAAAATTTATCCTTATTTTTATGGACATACAAAACATTTTCAAAAATGTATTGAGCAGCAACAGTCTAACAAGTTTCTTAACGATTCTTTGGGGCCCAGATTGTAAACTGCACGAATAGCTCTCTTTTGTAAGATAAAGATTGTATTAATGTCGGCCGCGTTACCCCAAAGCAGAATGCCATAAGACATTATACTGTGAAAATAACTAAAATATACCAAGCGAGCCGTATCTACATCAGTTAACTGTCTTATTTTTTTGACCGCGAAAGCTGCTGAGCTAAGTCTACTGGCCAGTCTATTAATATGGGGGCCCCATTGCAGTTTGGCATCAATAGTTATGCCAAGGAATACAGTTGAGTCAATAGGGTCCAACGCTGTTAAAATACAATTGAGCAGCCAATTGTTTTGCTGATAGTCATGTGTATTATAGCAACTAAAGCATCACCAGTGGTGTTTTAGTAAAACATTAGCCAGGTAACAAACAGTGTAACAAAATCTGTACATTTTATAGCAACAAAAAATTTATCAGGTAAATAAAACTTAACATAATCTAACGATGTAAAGATTCGAATGTATAAAATTAACGATTCTTACCTATTTCTATTGTTAACAATCGTTACCTTCACACACAATTAAATTTTCTAACAACCTCGAAATTACTGAAATAAAAAATTATGCCTATCGATTCAAGAATGTTCAGTGTGAGTAATATAATTCTATTAAAGACTCCTAAATTTAATAAACATTGAAACATTTTTACCTATTACCTTAACATTGATAACACTAAGTCTAAAATTGATATACTTGCTGTTCAAAAATGTTGTTGTAAAACCTAGACCAACTGTGATATACTTACAATTTATTTAAAAAAACTTTTATAATTACAATGTCCTATTTTAAAATGATTCTAGAGGTACAGCTTCGTAGCGTTTTACGCATCAATGTCTGTGGCGACTATAAGCTTCAAGCAAAGCGGTTGGTTGGACCGTGTCGTGGAGTATCACAAAAACCGCTTTCTTGCTGACTTAAAAACGCTGCCAGGCGTGCAAATTAAAGGTAATTTCTGGCATAACTGCACATAAAGCAAGATATCGATCTGATTGCAAAATATTGGTTTTGAGATGTATCTACTATACAGACTATAATTATATATACTGAACACATTTCCAGCTACCTTCATTCACTTATTTTTCTTACCTGGTTAGCTGGCAGAGAACTCATGCATTGAGTTAAACTTACCTTTTGTAAATTATTATTTTATTTTACATTTTATTTTTTTTTGTATCTTGTGTACAATAAATACCTATAGAAATAAAGTAGTATTGATAAATCTAAACGTTTATTCGTACGCCAATACGTACCATTTGATGGGCATCGTATTGAACTGCCATTGATTTTTAACTAGTAACAATATTATTTTTTTATGTGAATACGTGGCAAGCGAGCTGGCGGTCCACCTGATGTTATGTGATAACCATCGCCCACGGACATTTGAAACACCCGTAGGGTTGGAGATACGTTGCCAACTTTTAATAAAGTGTGCCTCGACAATTAGCCTCCTCAAAACTAAGAGTGGACGATCCAACAAAAAAAAGCAAATGAAATATCACGCCGGTTTTCTGTGAGATCTTGGTACTTCCTCTGACGTACCTACCCATTCGTGCCACAGAACGAAGTATGCGTATGTCTGGTGCAATCAGCATTGAAGATAGTTTATGTTTATTAACTCAGCAACGGGATATTAGGTACATGTTTTACCATATTCTATGAAATAATCCAGTATTCTTTGCAATACCTAGTGTGGAATGAGTCTTCTTTTACTTTACTTTTATACTTTTGATTTTAATGTTATAAACGATAACCGTGATAGCTCAGTGTCTGGGCGCTCGCCTTTATTTCAATATACTCGAGCAACCTGGTCCAACTAGTTCGATCCCGGTGCCAGCATCAATGAAATTTTTAATTTTAAGTGCTGACTTATCAAGTTATCACGTGCTCAGCGGTGAAGGAAAACATGAAAACGTGAAACGTGCATATTTTCGAAATAACTGACTGCTAGTGCATGTAAGAAAGAATAGAGCGAGCGACTGGCTTAGTTTCGAGTGTAGAGGTATAACACTTTTCTGACGTTACGTGACGATTTCTACCAACTCACACCTCCCTCCACCTGTGTCATTTCAATTTAGTATTGTTAATTCTTTAGCATCGATCGAGCGAGCTCCTCACGGCTACGTGGACCCGGTCAACTGGGATCTGGACTCCGTCTTGCGGCTCCTAGGACTCCTGCAACACAGCGGCGGGGCCGCCCCCTTGTTTCAGCACTTACGCAGAACTATGCTAGGCCGCCGGTTTATGAAATATGCAGACACTTTTAAAGCCTTCCCCAGTCTTTCTAAGGTAACACATATGGTGAAAGTGGATAGTCTTTTACCGAGCTTACCACTTAGGACTAAACGATCGTTCATTAGGAATAGAACCGATAGTCGCACGCAGCGTTAAGTCTCATATTTTGGTGGAGACTCTGGGCTGGAGCACTCCAATACGAGCTCTTTCATCTGACTACACCAAATTAAAGTTGCTAAATGTTGCGTGCCTTTCACGGGCACTCCCCGTGAGAAATTGTTTGCTTTATTACCAGCTACCGAGTTTCACCACCGTACAAGGCGACATACCTGCAAATACCATCGACAACACTTTGATAGAATTTAAATTGAAGTTAAAAAATAGATTAAATTGACGTCAGCAGTATTTCCTCCATTTCAGAATTTAAACCGTTTTATATATTCACAGGATCACCCCAATTATTTCTACTATGACATAGAATCGATAGATTACGAAGTGGAGGCTTCAAGCGACTTCCCCGGCGAGATCACCGACGACTCAATCGTTGTAATCTCCAACCCGGCAGAGGCGCGTCTCCCAGCGGCCCAAATAAGCGTCAGATTGCTAAGGTATATTTACACCATATAGCTTTGTTTATTCTAAGAAAGTAACTTTTCTTAAATAAATAATTACTTAATTAATAACAGGAAGACATTTCTTTGATTTCTTTTATTTACGCGAATACTATCTAAAAGAGGAGATATAAATTATTTCACTGATTTATAATTGTTGCATGATCCAAAATCAATAGCTAAATATTTAAAGTCCACAAAAAGGCAATGTCTCGCGGATATCGCAGACAGGTATTGATCGTGAAAATTTTTTGGAAATATAATTTTCACAAATAAAAGTTTTAAATATGTATACTGAATTGGTCCACGGCTTGCAGAGAGATACTGGAGGCCAGAGCGGTGGCGGCGAGGTACATACCAACCACTCGGACCACAATGTAAGTCATGGTTATCACCATTATTTAAAAATCAAATAATGCGTTTCTAAGCTGCTTTGATATTATGTAATTATTTAAATGTGCAACCGGCTACTTAGATTTATGTTTAAAAGTGTTTATGATCACTAAAAAAAATCATTGTCACATTTATGATAACATATTTTAAAATAGAAGAGAGTATTCATGTTTGAATGTACAAACTTGCCACCAGACTGTGGAAGCCTATGAATAAAACTACGATGGCGGGGACAACTGCTGCGCTAACCACAATCCCAGATGTGACGAAGAGCGGTGGCGGCGATGTCACGACAGCTGGTGAGATTTTAAAATGACTTATTTAGTTTTACTAATTATGCACATAACGCATTAATAAAGCATATGAATTAATGCTGCATCTTAAGCTATAGGGCTACAACGCGCAGACTTTATGGCTAAAAGTCAATTTTCTATTGACGAAAGATAATAATTTTTAACAAATACTTATTTCTCTTGAACGTTATAACGTTTATGCTAAAACAATCACTTGAACACCAGTTTTGTGTCTTAATAATCGTGAAAAATCTGGATTACAATAGTTTCTACGCTTTCCCCATAAAGCTCAGAAATGTATGCATAATTTTTTTTTAAATTATTTGGAACAGTTGCAGAGGGCGCTGGCAGCACCGCTGGCGGCGGTGCAACTACTGTTGAAACTACGTCACCTCCAGAAAATTAAGCATCAGATAATTGCTCTAAGTGTACCTAATAAAGTATGATTATCACCATTATACCTTTTTAATACCATTGTACTTGCTGAAATTGATAATTTTTTGCATTGCATAAAGTTATGATTAAACCTGCATAACTCATTTCACGATAAAAATGTCTTCATGGTCCGGAAATTCGGAATTTTTTTCAAATATTATTTTCATAGCGACTTTTAAACAAAAACAAACAAAATGTGCGAAATATTGTTAATTTCTAAATCGTACTTGTACAAATTGCAAAGAGAAATAGTTATGTTACATCACTGGTATCATACAAACCGTTAATATTTTTGAGAAAACTTGTAATTCATAACATTCTCCTAATTCACCGCTTATTAAGTAGGTAAAGTCCAAGCTTTGTAAATGTGTCGTTAGTTTGGATTTATCATTTGTATTATCTGAATTAAACGGGGCACAATGATGAAATAAAACCAGCCATTAATATTATGGAATTGGAGTTATTTATTAAAATATTATTTACAAGATATTAAACTGACAACACGGCTTTCGCTATCTTATGGCAATACAGTAGAATGTCTACCCTATATACGCTAGTTGTTTAACGCTCGAATTTGCGTAACGGAGACTAGATTTCCATCGTCCCCAACATTAAGAACTTGAATTATCATCATTTTAAAGGCTAGAAAGTTCTGAACGAAACGGGAATTTGATACTTAATATTAAATGGCAGATTTAGCTGGAGTCACGGCTATCTTAAAACAACCGAACCAGTCTCCGGCACGCAAAGAATCAACGTACTCGTCACACGACGCCAGCACTCCGTACGTGGACAGGCAGTGCTAACAAACCAATCTCCGTCCCACTCACACCGCGACGAGAACGCTAACCGAAACGGGAAACGGTTGAAATGCACCAGATTCGAACCTAAGACTACTCTGGCATCGCACGAGAGTGAACGCGACGCGCCAGCGCGAAAGCGTCCACTCGCACCCACATCCCAAAAATACACCAGCAGGCTCGTGACGAGCGGCCCAAACGACGAACTAAATCACTATATACAAAGAGCGGACTTGCTTCAACCCGGGCGTAAGGTGTCGCGTCTACTTAAACTATATTTACAAAGCGTAAACTAAAACGATAATAATAAAACTAAAAAATTCGAACTAAAAGAGAAAAAATTTGGAATAAATAGTTACGCGCGTTGCGTGTGTCGTATCAACATAATATACAGATATATGCAATTAAAGTTAACATTGGTAGATTAAGCTGTACATTCTCGTGCAATGGCAGGCACGATCGTAATATATCGGACGGGGGACCGTAGTGGCCAAATTCGGCACGTGTGGAACATTGTGGGTCCGTTGGTCGATCTCGGAGAGGCTCTCCCGGGCTGGAGAAAACATTTGTTATACCAGCTGCAGTGTCACAGACAAGCTCATTGACCACAAAGTTAAAAAAGTTATAAACATTTCACACAATCGATAACATGTGACATGTTGAAAATTTAAACTATTCAGGGCTCATAAATCTTGCAGTGTTTCAATCTTAATTAGGGAATTTTGTTGCGCTTCTTGTGTAAAATCTACATTTCACTAATCCTCCTAACATTAGAAATGTCAACTCAAACACTCGCACGATTACGATTTGATATTCAAAAACGTACTATTAACACAATAATGAAGTTTTTATTTCTAAATTGTACTATATGGCACTGCGTCTTATCCGCTCCGCTGAGGACGATTTTGATCTTTGATAAGATTTGTTATTATCATGCAAAATTATAATATAAAGGAATCTTTATCGGTTTCCTTAGGTCCAATATAATAAATAATGCATAACGGAAACTAGAGATTTCACAGCAGAATTAATAAACCCTGAAAATAATAAATAGTACTACTTCGATCTATTCGACAAAGAACGATATTTTAACAAGCGAATTGGAAAAATCTTTTTTTTAAATTACTTTTAAGTGACGAATGAAATCAAATATGATGAATAACAATAAACATCTTTATAGATTCTTTAGCTTTTCACTTAAATATTAAGATTGCTTGTAGATTTTGGACATTGCCTCGCCGGCGGCTGACGAACTAGTCAGACGGTGAGACTGGTGATGAGCTGCTGACACAGCTTCCCGTATTCTCTCTGGTCACCGGAGATCCGTCTCATTTTGAGGCCTTTCTTCTCTTTCGCTTTATTCTCGCACAGCACCAATTCTATCTGGATACCACCGGAGTATTCCAGGTTCAGGAAGCCGGTCAGGGCCTCGGAGTCGTCGTGCTTCTCCTTCTGGTCCCCCGTCTCCACGAAGATGCTCTGCGGCGGAACCCTTGTATTGATCGTTTCCTTCAGCAACTCGACTATCCTCTGCGAGTCCAGTTGTGAGCAAACGGTGGACAGGGCCACCTCGTAATACTCTTGGAAGCACGACACCTTCTGTGGACTGAGCAGAATCGGAATTTTCTTCTCCTCCGGTCTGCAGATCTCCGTCAGGCGAAGATCCATCGTGGAGCGTTGCAATCTCTCTATCTCCTCTTGCCTCGGTTGTTCAATTTCGCACCTGTCCAAGCCGTATTTGCTGCTATCGCGCGGCATGTAAACGTCCTCGTAGTACTCTTTCACCTCTCCTAGTACGCCCTGGGCCGAGAAAGAGGATCTCGGCGTCTCCCCTTTCTCCGAAAAGCTTCCACGCCCAAAGTCACTCTTCTCAGAAAACGAGGACCTGCCAAAGTCTCCGCGTTCCGAGAAACTGCCCCTATCAGAGAACGAGAACGATTCCCTGTGCTCCGAGAAACTTCCACGGTTCTCGCTGAACCCGGAGCTCACGGAGATAATATTCGAGTAAATCGATTGGATGTTCTGTTCGCAATTCGGCGACACGTTCGTCGAATCGTTGCTGAGCGAGTCGTCACTGAAACCCAAAGACTTGTCGCTGCCTCGCCTGAGATACTTTACGTCTTCTGCTAAGAATTTGTTGGTCTCATCGACGCTCTCTTTGGGCGAGTGCATCTCCGTGTCCTTGTCGAGGTGCAGGTCCAAGTCTTTGGGCATCTCTATAGGGGGCGGCGGCTCGTTCTCCTGGCTCACTTTCCTACCGATGCCTTTTGTGATGGACGGTCTATCATCCAAGTCCGAAGGCTCCGATATGACGAACTGCGGTAAGGGATACTTGCTGTTTTCCAAACTGTCTACGCTGTCTTCGGACGAAGACGCGACGAGGGTTATTTCGGACCCTAAGCAATCGGTGAGACTGATTTGGGGATGGTTCGAAACGTAGCTCGGAAACTGGATATTTCTCATTTCCTGGGCGAACATTTTGGCGTCGCCGTTATGACTTCCGTTGCCTATCTCCTCCTGAATCATGTCCAGCGGCGAGCCAGGGTTGGAGATGGGCGAGTTGTTAAGTGACCGGTGGGTGACCATGTGTATCTGGGGATGTACCATAGGGTGCAGTTGGGGGTATTGGCCCGTGTCCATTTCCACGTTACTCCGCAGATCGAGAGGCGTGGAGTTGGGCTGCGGGGTGCCCCTGGTTATGGAGCCGGTGTGGAGGTAGCTGAGGCCCTCGGTTATCTGGTGCAGAGGGGAGCCCGGGCTGGCCGGGGACGCGTGCCCGGAGAGGAGGCCGAAGCCCTGCGCGTGGAGCGCCTTCACGATCTCCTGGGAAATGTTGACGTGCGGCGAGCAAAGGTTGTGCAGGTTTATGCCCATCTTCAGGGCCAGGTCCTGAAAATGAAGAGGTTTTTGGCAGAGTGTACATGTTGCGAACGCACGGTGGCGTCGTGATGAGGGTAAGGCGTAAGGGGCAACCTGCGTGAGCAGCAGCGAGCGCGGCAGCTCGCCGGCGGCGGCGTCGGGGAGGGCGCGCGCGGCCGCCAGCACGGCGCGCGCCGCCTCGGCCGACAGCGCGCCCAGCTCCAGCGGCGGCGGCGCCCCGCAGTGCCGCGGCGACCCTGCCGCCACCACCACCACCAGCCCTTCAGATGGCGCTACATTTCTCCGTCTCGGAACGACCTTCCCCGGGCGGGACTCGAGCCCGTCTCCCGTGCCATTGAAGCCTTTAGCTTTGCAACTATTTAATAGTACTAGCAATGAGAGTGGAAGTGATCCATTTCAATGTTTTCATTATAGAGTCAACTTTGTACTTGAACGAACGAAAATATCGAAAGCGTCGTTAAACGAAATCGTTTGGTGAGAGAGGTCATACCAGGTACAGAGGTAGTAGGTGTGTGCAGACGGCTGTCGGGGCGAGGGGGCGAAGCCCCGGGCCCCCCGCTGGTAGCGACGCCGCTCCGCCTCTCCAAACCTCGCTAGGATAAAGCAATCGTTGGATACGTTTACGATGACAGAGTAACAGAAGAGTGATAGTAGAAGCGAGGGGAGCATGGGGAGCATGGGGAGCGTGGGGACGCACCTGCAGCTGCTGGTACTCGAGGCGGGCGGAGGCCAGGTCGTGGGCGGCGCGCGGCGGCGAGCTCTCGGCGCGGCGCACCGGCGAGTAGCGCTCCGCGTGCTCGCGCGCTGCGGCCGCAACAACAAAGGATCCATACAACATGGTCTTTTATGTGAGGAAGTGGCTAACGAGCTGGCGGTCCACCTGATACTAAGTGATAACCGCCGCCCATTGTCATTTGCAACACCCTCAGGGTTACAAATGCGTTGCCTTTGAATAAAGTGGGCCCCGGCTACCTCACTCACCAGACGAATCGTGAAAGTGTAACACTTCTACTTTACGTCGATCTTGTGTGGTCGTGGTACTTACCCGGACGGACCTGCCCATTCGTGCAACAGTGTTGCGTGGCCCTACCTCCGTTTCAGGGGCGCCCAATTTCTATAGGTCCACCGCGAGCCACTAATTGACGACCCCTGCTATATTGAGTGAACGAATCGTCATATTTCTCTAATCTTTGTCGACAAATAAATTTGTCGTCTGTGGATCGATAACATTTACAATCACGATCGATCAGTTCAATAGGGAAAATGCAATATTTTCATGCATTTTTTTGGTTTTATTTGAATGGATTTCATGTAGAATAGACCACTAGTATATTAAAAAATTAAAATAGGTACTATGATTTATTCTAAAAAAATGCGGTTTCAAATTGATGATTTAAATTTTTGCGCGAAAACGGATCTACAATTGCGATGACGTCACTCCTGTCTGTCATCTGTCACTTGCCATATAATTTGTCCCTCTCTTTCAACGCATAAGTTTTGACTTTCTAGAAGTTTATTATTATTTTTTTAAATAAATATCTTAAAGTACAATAAATAAAAAATGAACTATCTATCGACATCAGGTAATCGTAACAATGCCACCAATGTTCCAAAAAAAATCTGTATTGATGCGTGTTTCGTGCCTATGTGTCCATCGGCTTAAACAAAATTCCCAAATAGTTAAAGTGCGAAAAAGGATGTGCTTAGGTCGAAAAAAATTGCAAACCTACGGATTCACATTGAAAGAGAGATCTGAAGACAAAGCTGTGTGGATCATTTTTTAAATACCCAACATAGACTATGCTATGATCATTTATTGTGCTTTTGTCAATTTACAATCAACCTTAATTAAAATTGAATAAAAAACTGTATTAAAAAACAGAGTTTTATTTTAAATGTTTATCAAAAAATTAGAGAAAAATTATTATATTAAAATTTGAGAATAATTTTGGGAATACAGCATCTACCCAGAACTTCATTGCAGCGTCCAAAACAGACATGATGCTGTTATCAAATGGCGCATAATACACATCTACTTCTTTAGATTTTTCAAAATTTGGCTTTGCTACACACAAAATAGCATTTTTTTCTTCTTCTGATTTGGAATTAACCGACAGCGCTGTCGCCACAAAATTGCCTTGTTGCCCTGAAATAACTGCTAAATGTAGAAGCTGCTGAATGAAATATCTCTCACTGTGATTTATACATACCGTAACATTTTAATCCCTTTCATTTCTACACTTGAAAACTCTGCACTTTCAACAAAACATTTATAACCATGTCAACACTAACTTCCGGTAAATTTCTGAAGTCTGCTTTTATAATCCCAATCTCTATTTTTATTCAAAAGCACAATTAAATTTAGCAAAACAAACAATGTTTACCTTTCCAATGTTAACCTTTATAAGCTGTCAAAACAGGAATGACGTCACTAGACGCTGAGTGGCGTTTTAAAAAACGTTCCGTTTCTCGTTATTTTAATCCGTAATATGTATTAAAAATCTATAAAAAACAAAATAAAAATGTGGCAGTGGCATTTTTTTATGACTTTTTAACATTTTAGTCACAAAATATCTAAAAATATTAAATCTGCATTTTCCCTATTCATTTAATGAAAATTATTTAAACAATGTTTTTTGAATGTAATTGTAAAAAATTTTTTGTTAAATTATAATAAAATATAGCTCATGTTGTATCCAACAGTGCTAGATGAGGTATATTTTAAGAAAAAACTCACGTCTCATTCAACACACAAAATGCACTACCTAACGATTAAGAACACACACGTACGCATACAAAAACATACAATTTGCTACAACATTGAAACTGAGCCAACTATTATTGCGAAAACATAAAAAAAAAGCATGCACAAAAATTGAATAACAATTGAAAATGCTAATTAATATAAAGGGAAAAATTAGAATTTACATAAAGTTCTTAAAAATTTATCACCAGAGCATTATAATCCAATGTTTATATAATACCCAAAAAATGAAAAAGAGAATTACCCATTTCCTGTACCGTGGCTAACATTTGCAGTTTGACCCTCTGCGGTCCGGAGTACTTGCGCTGGCGGCCGTACTGGCCCTGGCACGGGGTGCCGGCCGTGATGGAGCCGCCCACCGAGCCCGTCAGGGTCGGCGTGCTCATCGAGCCCACGCTCTGGCTTTGGTAGGTAGTCTGCGAGCCGGGGGAATTCTGCCCTTGGAATCCGGCCGTGGGGGTGGCGCTGCCGAAGCTCGGAGGCGGCGGGTTGACGTTGGCGAAGTTGGCGGCGGGGCTCGTGAAGCCGAAGTCGGCGCCGAAGGTGTTCGTCTCGAAGGTGGCGGGGAGCGGGGTGCCGCTGACGATGGAGCCGTGCGGGGTGTGGGCGGGCGCGCCGTGGCTGGGCGAGAAGGGCCCGGCGGGGGGCGTGTACGGGCACACGGCCTGGCTGCCCACCGGCGTGCCCGACACGATGGAGCCCTTGCGGCCCATCATGCTGCCCTGCGGAATCGTCTCCAGCGAGGGCACCATTTTCTGCCCGCCCTGAGCCTGGTTCGCGTAGTTCGGCGTGCCGGCCGTTATCGAGCCCTGGCCGCTCGTCTGCGGGCTGCCCTGGGCCTGGTTGGCGGCGGGGGGCGCGGGCGGGCTTTGGTAGCCGGGCTGGCCCTGGTACTGATAGCCCCCCTGTATCGACGGGGGCAAATAGTTCCTCTTCATTCGCGCCTCGACCTCCATTACCAGCTCTGGACTTATGACTATACGGGGTGGGTGGTGAAAGGAAAAATAAAAAAATAAAAAAAAATTAGCAAATAAAATGCAAATCAACACGGCGACCTCATGCCACTACTCGGTCGCGGAATGCGCACGTTAAAATCAAATAAAATCAACATCGACAGCCTTGAAATATGTGTTAAAATAAAAACAACAAGCCTAAACAGCTCTAGCGAGTTAAATCGGAACACCGAAAAGAACTCAAGCATTCCTCTACTGGTTGGAGAGTAGCACTCACCCGGCGGCCGCTCCGTCACCGTCAGCAGCCCCGTGCGCCGCACTCGCATGTTCGCCGTCGAAGAGGGCGACGTGCTCGTCTGCTGCGGACACGACCACTTCTATCAACTTCGCAACACTTGTACCATACAATCAACGATTCTGTCTGGTATTTACCGCAATACTAGGAACTTCTTTTGTCGCATTAGGGAAAAATTATGGGGAGTGAATTTTTACGATGCGCAATACCTAAAAGTGAAACTGACTTCATGGTGTTAAAATGACAACTGTTTGTCCCGATATATTTTAGTGCCACTATATATACACTAAAATATATCGATGGACTATAGGTAAAAAATGCAAACAAAGCTATTTGGTTCAACAGTGAACCGAACAGCTAATAATAAGAATATTTTGACATTTACTTATAACTCCAAATTATTTAATTAAACCGTTATCAATTGCATCTAACGTCTGTTTTGTATAAACGACAAGGGATAATATTATTATTTATTTTTCGTTTGTTACGCTAGAGAAGTATAACTTCTTACGTGCGTACATGAAGTCACACACACATTTTTTTAAATTAATACTTTTTGACGTTTCTTTTAGTGTTAAGAACGCAAGAAATGAGTAGCAGTGCGAGCGCTAAAGGGACATGGGGGTGCGGTACCATGGGGCCGGTGCAGGAGTTGGAGGTGGCCACGTTGGCCGCGTCCTCGGGCGTGGCCATGGTGTGCCGCTTGCTGCTGCCGCGGTTCAGCATGTACCTGGGGGCCGGACCGTCGCACCTCGTTACAACGAGCACAGTCAATCTCATTGAAATTGATGAGGTCAAAACGGCCTAGCTTCATTGAATTCGGGGCTGAGATTCGATTCCCACACGGGACAACTATTTGTGCGACCCACAGATCGCATCTGGATGTTTGTCCGCGCGAAATTTGTATTTGTAAAACGTCCGTACAACACATAATGTTGTCCTAAAGTAAGGACAATGTATTTAAAAATATCCCATTTATAATTAGTGGACACAAGTCTATTAGACTTCTAGTAATAAAGTTAAAGTAATTATGAATTGGCAATCGTAGAACAAATAAATAAGTTAGATAGATTTAGATAGTACCTGCACAAGTTAGTATTGTAAACGGAGTCAGCGGTTTGCTCCTCCGACTGGTCTGGGTTGTCGGGCCGAGGCGGCGTGCCGCTGTCTGACACCTTGGGGGCCATACTAGGCATTTATATATCTACACAACTGAGTTATTGGGATATTGTAAAAATTAGGAGTTATTCTAGTAGACGTAAACTTAGATTTACCTCGATAGGTTGTACATTGGTAAAATAAATTTGAATCTCTGTTATTTCTCAAAGGTGTTACTTGTCGGTACGTCATAACTTCTATATCATTTTTTATCAAATTGAATGATATAAACACCATCTTAAGGCTTATGTTTGCCTATTACGTTATAAACTTGATCTTAATTAAAAAATTGCATTTAAAACATTCTTATAAAAATGTATAATAACGCCATCTATTGGCAATCTGTTTAAACTTAAGATAGCGAAGTAGACACAAAAAGTAGGTTAGCCTTCATTGTCAAATACTTAACCACTTTACTACATTAGTATTCGGTCAATGATCGAGGTAATGTTCAGCTGGTATAAATAACGTCGTCCTCAACAGAGGTAGAGGTGCGGCACTCACGTGGTGCGCGGGCGCGGAGCGGCAACACGCGCGCTCGCCGCCGTGCGGCACGTGCGCGCCGCCGTCCGACGCGCGCCGCCCGAACGACGACGCTGTGCGACCACCACCCGCTTTATCAACGTGTCGGCTCCGGCATCGTGGCCGTGGGTTCGAATCCCGCACGCGACACATTTCTCCGCGTGAAACTCGCGTTTGTAAGGCCTTACGAAACTAAGGCGGCAAAATTCTTCTGCCAAACTAAGCAACGCTTGTACTTTACGTAGTGGGTAACTGACAATCATATTTTTCTTCTTATACAGCGTGTCGTTACCATCGCGACAATAAATGAACACACGTCTAACGCTACGTGCCAATAATCATAAAAAATATTAACGTTAAACAAAATTCATAATTAAAAAAAATATTTTTCAAACTAATTAAGTAAAAAAGAAACAAAATCTGTAACATCCTATACAACTCGCGCCACAGCGTCGTATTACAAGCCTCTCCTTCTAACAGTATGTTTTGTCTCTTTTAAATTCATTCAACCCATTCATATGTTTTGTGACCTTTACAAATGAACTTTACGTTACGCTTTTATAGGTAAGGGTGTTCTAAAATTCTTTGTTTTGGAAAATTTAATAACTCTGTAAATATTGATGTTTAAAAAATTTAAATGTTTAATTCAACTTTAAAAACTTATCCCCTATATGTGTGTTCATTTATTGTCACGATGGTAACGACACGCTGTATAAATAAATACACATTATAAATACAGGGAGATTTTTTGAAAAGTGCCCAAATTTACACAGGACATTCAGGCTCGGTAGTATAATCGTTTATTGAAATATGGTAGTCATTCGTAAATACCTAAATTTTACTGTGCACGAACTTGTGTGCGCGTTAGTTATGAATGATCGCGCGTAAAATAAATGAGTTACGTATAAAGCACGCTCTTTTTGAGATAAATTCAAATGAATTTAATCAATTACTTACGAGTGATTTTAAATATTTATCATTTTTGATATAACATTATTTGTCCAGAATTTAATTAAAATATAGTAAATGGAAATTCAGACACTTGTGTGTTCGACACAACATATTTTTCCAGTGGTGGGGATCGAGGCCAAACGCTCCGGCGCTCACCGTGCGTGAGCATCGCGTGCGGCGGCTTGAGCAGGTGCTGGTCCTTGACGCTGAAGTAGCGCGGCGGCTGGTGCTGCACGGCCGGCAGCTTGGCCGCCAGGTTGGTGTTGGGCAGCAGCGACACGTGCGGCGCCGCCGGCTGCTGCGGGCCAACGAGCGAGAGGTCAGAGGCGGGCGCGAGCGAGAGGCCCGAGCGACGGGGGCGGAGCGCACGCGCACGTACGTTGAAGTGCGCCGACGCGGAGGCGCACAGCGGCGCGCCGCGCAGCTCGCCGGACGCCGCGCCGCACGCCGACAGCTCGCCCGGCTGCGCTCGGACGCAAACACACGCTTTTTTACATTTCTAATCGAAAAACGATGAGTTTTAAATGTATGGTAACAAAATTCAAACTAATTTACTATACCTAAAGTATATGGAATATAAAAACTTTAGAAAGTTTTTATTTTAATACTTTTCTCTTTGTTGTATGAAAATTAACATCCGAACATACTTATGCAACATTCATCATACAATCTCTGTAAGATCATGCGTTTGCTTTCGGTCTTAAAGCAAAAAATAACTCTTTATCACCTCCAAAGCCCGCCAAAAACCAAATAATTTCTATTATCATTTAACGCATAAAAATTGGTGTTAATAAATATTTATTGGATAAGTATAGATATAGATAGGAATAATTGGTTCAGTAACTGCATTTAATTTCCCGTCGTGTAACTCTCAAAAAGGTCTAAAAGACTCGAGAAGGATGAAGACGAGGGACCTGATCATTCACTTAAACCGAATTACCTGCGCATGCCGGCAGTCGCCGGGGCCGACGGTGTGGCGCCTGGCGGCGGGCGGGGCCTGCTGCGGCCACGCCCCCAGCGCCGGCCCCGCCCCCGCCCCCCCCCCCCCGCCCCCGCCTGCCCCTCGCCCGGCGCCACGCACGCGCCGCACGAGCCGAACTGCGGACGACCACCATCTTAACGTATGCAATGACCTCTCGTCGAACATTTGCGAAGCGAGAACTGCACATTCATATATGCGCACGGTAGGCGCCACTGAGTTACGCGATAGGTTTTTATAAACTAATATGAGATGTGTATTTAGATCTCTTAGTCTTACTCAAAACATTTTGGTAATAATAGAAAAGGAATAGTGACTCTTAACCAGTATAAACAATTTTGTGAAGAACTCCTACTGCTACTTCTCCCAAGAATACCTTCTCGAGGTCGTCGTCGCGCTGCATGAGGTAGTGGGGCGGCGCTTGCGGCAGCTCCACCAGCCACTCCTGCCAGCTCGACTCCTCGGCCTCCATCTGCTCCTCCTCTGTGTTCTGAACCAGACAATTACACTGACAAGAGAAAAAGAAAACTCTATGTTACTTTCATTTTAAACTATGTTCAGTGTAAAGACACCAAATTTTGGCAATGCTCAAAAATCAAATACCAAACCAAATTAAGTTAAATATAATGACGTCATGTTGTTATCTTTTATTTAAATAGATTTCATTATTGACTTTTCATCCGTATTCTTTGTGGAAATAAAATTAGCAATTTGTTGCATTGCTATATACAAATGAATACCATGGTTATATGTATATAATAATATGCTAAATAATAATTAACAAGCGTTTTTATTGTTTATTTATTTTATATATATTTTATAATATAGTCATTTCAAAAAGGTCGGATAATTAAAATTTAAATGTCTTACAGAACAGACATTTAATAAAAACTCCTGGCATAATTATATATCCCGTGATATTCAAAATCCAGCGCAAAACTTACTTTACAATTACATAGATTTAGATAATCTTTTATGATGAAATATTATGTGATACAATACCTTACAACTAGTGAGATCTAAAGGCTGGCTTGTGTTAGAGTCCAACGAGTCTGAAATTAAAGTTCAACAAAAAATTAGTAAAACTGATATAGTATAAAAAATCTTATTTAAACACCTCATTAGTTTATATCTACCAATGAACATCACATATTGCAAAAACAGTAGTTATAGAAGAATTGCAACATTTCCCATAAAATATTTTTTATTTTTTTTATTTGCCGGCACTTGACTGCCATCCCACCTGATGGTAAGTGGCGATGCAGCCTTTGATGGTAAGCGCGCTAGCTCAGCTATTATTTATTGTTAAGAACCACCAACAGAATAAAATGTTGTTATGTAAATAAGTATGACAATAGTCTTAGGAAGATTTACATGATTCTAATTAAAGGTAGTTACAACATTTATGTAGACAGATATGAAGGTCTTTGGATAATATACATATAATAGTGATGTAGAGTGAATGAGTAAAGTTGTGTCAAGATAAGCGGTAGCAGGAGAGGTGGTAGTGGTACCTCTGTGGTGGAGACCAGCACGGGCGGTGGCCCGCTGCTGCAGCTTGTCCATGAGCAGGTGGTAGATGGCGGAGATGTGGTCGAAGCGTTCCTCTTGCACCGACTGACAACGTCAAAGATCACATTTTAGTCAAATACAATTCTTGCCACAGCGACGCATACTCAATTTCAAGACATACTTTTGTTTTTCAGATATATATACATACATATATACATACCTATTATTTTTATGTATATAATTTTTCTATATGAGTGTATGTCACTGAACTCCTCTTAAATGGCTGGACCGATTTAATAAAATTTTTGTGTGTCTTCGGGTCGAATAGAGAATGGTTTATATTCACCATTCGGTCCACATTTTTTTTAATTTTTTTATTTATATGTTTTTCAGTCACGTTTACAGGAAAACGTCTGTCGGGTCCGCTAGTGAATATATAAATACCCAGACACTGGAAAAACACTATGTTCATCACACAAGATTCTTCCAGTAGTGTGGATCCAACCCACACCTATAATATTTATTTCCATTGACATAGTTTAGCCGCAAGACAGCCATTGAATAATGTAATTTAAATTGTTTATAGTGCTAATCTTTGCACTTAAGATTGATCATTAAAATATGTAGAAAAAGTGCGAAAAGATTGTCGCCGCTGTGGGAATCGAACCCCACGTCTTCGGCATTCGCGGCCTGACGCTCTAGCCACTGAGCTAAACGGCTGATTACCACACCGACGAAAATCTTAACGGCTTCCTTCTACATTGTTTTCTTAGCATTTGAAGCAATGCTTGGCGCCATCTATTGTTATATCCTTTCCAGCATACCAACAACTTCGAATATCGTTTTACAACGATAATTCGAACGAGAGATGTCGCCATTGCTTTTTAAGAAATTTAAATTGTTTATAGTGCTAATCTTTGCACTTAAGATTGAACATTAAAATATGTAGAAAAAGTAAACGAACATTAAAATATGTAGAAAAAGCATTGCTTCAAATGCTAAGAAAACAATGTAGAAGGAAGCCGTTAAGATTTTCGTCGGTGTGGTAATCAGCCGTTTAGCTCAGTGGCTAGAGCGTCAGGCCGCGAATGCCGAAGACGTGGGTTCGATTCCCATAGCGGCGACAATCTTTTCGCACTTTTTCTACATATTTTAATATTGAATAATGTTCCAAATAATTGGAAAAAGAGCCAGGGCAGCACCTGGAGGACTAGGTCCCTGGTGAGGCCGGGCAGCGCCAGCATGTGGGCCAGCACCCTGTTCTGCGGCGAGCCCTCCTCGCCCGCCGCCTCCGCGCCCGCCGCCGCTCGCGCTTCCGCCTCCGCCTCCGCCTCCGCCTCCGCCCCTCGCTCGTGGCACGCGCAGGCTCCCTCCGACGCGTCTGGAATAGAGGGCTTCTTTCAAGAGCACGTATGGAAGACGGTTGCTGCTCACTTGGTGCTCAACCATTACCGCTGCTAATGGAAAAAGTCATCACCAAAGGGAGATAGAGCCAGCTCTCTGAACACACATTAAATTAAATTCTAGACATAAATAATGTTATAAATAAAATGATAAATATTTTAAATCACTCTTAATTAATTAATTACATTCATTTGAATTTATCTCAAAAAGTGCGTGATTTATGCGCAACTCATTTATTTTACGCGCGATCATTCATAACTGACACGAACACAAGTTCGTTTCAAAAGTATACGACGCATTTACGAATGACTACTGTTCGTTTTTATTTGAATAAACGATTATACTACCGAGTCTGAGCCTGCAGCATGAAAAGCCACCCTGCCTAACCAGTCTAGATCGGAGCCGGTACCTGGCTGGCCCGGGCCCGGCCCCGGCTGGTGCGCCGCCAGCCAGCGGTGGCGCGCCACGCCCCGCAGCGACAGCCTCTTCTCCGGCTCCACCACCAGCATGTGCCGGATCAGGTGCTCGCACTCTGCAACACCATCAACGCATCGTTGAACCGATACAGCTGTTTTATAAATGTAGTAAAACCTACTACGAAAACTTGGTAACTTGAAAACTTTGGCTTTTGCTTGATATTTGGATTTAAAAATGGCAATTTAACGATATATCAATGTTGCTTGCATAATCCTTCCCCCACTGCAGATTTGCGGACTCCAACATACGATCGAAATATTTTTTCGTTACTATTCCGTAAGTACGCAGGTTTCCAAATAAAAATAAAAACTTATTTATATCAAGTAAACAATTGTGCTCCTCTGGAGCTACCTTGCGACATGAAGTAGGGAATCCGGAACTTCCCGCTGAGCACCACGCTGCGCAGCTCGTGCAGCGTGCTGCCGTCGAAGGGCAGCGCGCCGCACACCAGCACGTACAGCACCACGCCCAGGGACTGCGCAAGCCACCACCGTCCTCATCATCACCGCCACGCTCACAAACTTTCTCGCGTAAAGAACACAAACGTCACGCTCTCTCGAAGCTTCTCTGTGATGCGGTTCACCTGATGTTAAGTGATAACCGCCGTGCATGGACATTTGCAACAATCGTAGAGTTGCAGATGCGTTCCCACCTTTGTGTCCAAAGTGAACCCCGGCTACCTCACTCACCAGAAGAAAGACAGAAGTGTAGCAGTTCACGCTGGGCTTCTGTGCTGTGAGATCGTGGTACTAGCTCGGAAGGACTTGCCCATTCGTGCAACAGCGAGCACTGTTGCGTGGCCCTACCACAGTGTTACGAATGACGCATTTGATTTCATTCCAAATTAGTAGTGTGAAGTGAAAGTTCTTATTCCGGAACTTTCAGTGAAGTGAAGTACCACGACCACACAGAAGACCGACGTGAACTGGAAGTGTTACTATTGATACTTCCGCGTATCGTCTGGTGAGTGCGGTGGCCGGGGCCCCCACTTTGTTAAAAGGTGGCAATGCATCTGCAACCCCACGGGTGTTTCAAAAAGAGCAGTCGGAGAGTCCGCTAGCATCTCACCCATATGTCAGCCCGGGGCCCGTCGTAGTGGCGGCCCTCGAAGAGCTCCGGCGCGGCGTAGGGCGGGCTGCCGCACCACGTGGCCAGCGCCGCGCCGGCGCTGTACTCGTTGCTGAACCCGAAGTCTGCAAGCTGACGACACCACCACCAGCGAACGGTCACCACTTCATTCAAGCGAGCATCTCATATCGCAACTGGCTAGCAATTAAATACTCGCCCAAACAATGTTTTACGGTATATTAACTTATCACTCTACGAGTATACCTAATATAGATGATAATATACGATGACTCCAGTGTTGACAAGTCATTGACTTCGGCGCCAAAACTATTTTTGTGACCCATAGATAATTGTCTAGGATCGGGTCGTTTGTCCATGTGAAATTCATGTATGAAAAACGTCCATATAACGGCGAAGAAAGTTATCCCACATTAAGGGCAATGCTTTTTTAAAAGACAAAATGTATAGTAAGCAGGGCACTAATCGAGATACAACCTTGATATTCATGTCCCGGTCGAGCAGCAAGTTCTCCGCCTTGAGGTCGCGGTGGACCACGCCGCGCGAGTGGCAGTAGCCCACCGCCGCCACCATCTGGGCGAAGGCACGCGCCGCCTCGGGCTCCGGCATGCGACCCTTGGACACCAGGTGATCTAACAGAGTCAAGCAAAGCATCATCCCATACTTGTCCCGCTGCTCTCGAACGTCTCTGTACAGAAGGTTTAAGGGCACAGTCCCCCACATCATTCCATTGCGGATTGGCGGACTTCACATATCTACGAAAAACTTTTTTTTATAAATTTTTCGAAAATATGCACTAATTAATATCACGATATTTTCCCTAACCGCTGAACCGTCCGAATGCTGATAAGTAGCAGCGCTTAAAATGAAGAATTTCGTTGGTGCGGTCACTAGGATTTGAATAGTTTAGCTAAGTGTAAAGATACCATATAGAGAGGTGTAAGATAATGAATGCTCGGAATCAAAGAAAACTGGCCTCTGATCTCTGTCCCTATTTAATGATATTGAACAAAAGTCAATCACAACGTTATTGATTAAGTATAAGTAATAAGTCACGAAAGCATTTTTTCATTAGATATGCGTTAAAAAAATCGTAAAAAGCCCCAATTTGAATAGAAATTAATATATGAATCCCGTAAAAGGTGTGAACATGTCCATGGCGACATTCTTATCGGGGCAGCCATTTACAGGTTTTTTTTTTATATTTATACTTGTATGATAATTGCATCATACCTATGCCTTATACGGACCTAATGTCCTTGCGTTAAGTCCAAAAATAGTTTTATATATTAACAAATATTTTAAAAATTAAATAAGGCAGAATGTCGCCGCTTACCGAATATCTCTCCGTTTGGAGCGTATTCTGTGACTAGGTAAATTGTGTGCGCGCTCTCCATAACCTGCAAAGAGAAGATATTACTCATTCTTCTTTAAATAAAAGAAATTTCTCTAGATATACTGTACAAATAAATGTAATAATAATGTCAGAATGTTAGGATAAGTTGTATTAGGTTTGTAGATTCCATAAATGCGTAGGAGACTATTACTTCCTATATTTTGCACCCGATAGAATTAATGTAAGAAGATGACAAGCAAGCTGGCGGTTCACCTGATGTTAAGCGATAACCATCGCCCATGGACATTGCAATACTCAATGTAGGGTTACAAGTGCGTTGTCACCTTTAAATAAAGTAGGCCCCGGTAACCTCACTCAGCAGACGAAACGCAAAAGTATTTATAACACGTCCACTGTCACGCTGCGGTCTTCTGAGGTGGAGGTACTTCCCCGGATGAACACACAAATGCAACAGAGAAAACTGGTGTATGGCCCTACCGCAGTAGATGCTCAATGGTGAACTGGCAGTTATATTCCTTGTGCACTTGTGTGAAGTTTTTCAAATTTATATTTGCGAAACCAGTAGATAATAATGACAAAGTGAAATGCTTAAAAAGCCCGATATAATGATAGGGATGTTTAGTTATGTAAGACCGATATTAGTTTATTAAAGTGCTCGGATGAATATTAGTAATTCACGCAATTGGAAAACAAAGTGTCATTATAATAATTGTAGACGTGAGAGTTGTCCGGTGGCCTCGATGCCACTCGAATGATTACGATCAGTGGGCAATAAAAAAAATAATCCATCATATCGTTGTTAATAGTTATATGTATATTTATTTGATATATTAATAATAATAAGTTTTTTGAAGTTATACTTCATACGAATCGCGACACTTAAAACCGACGACTTCACTTAAAATCGGCGTTACCATGGCAATCAATAAGAACTTTTTTGACATTTACCAAGCTTAATTAAATATTAAATTACCAAGTTTAATTAAATATTAAATCGTTATCAATTGCATTTACGATTACTAGTACGCGGGATAAAATTTAATTCTTTCTTTTGTTACGCTAAAGAAGTATAACTTTATACGTGCGTACATAAGTACACACACGTTTAATTTTTCATATATTTCATACATTTAACAATAAACAAAAAGTGCTGACACACAACTTTCATCAATTCTATACAATGTAATTTACAATAAAGACAATTACGATAAAGTAAAAATTGTTAAAAGTTACAAAGAAGCCATCAAATACCTGATATAACCTAACAATGTGTGGGTGACGTAGCTTCTTCATGATCGCTATCTCCCGGAAGGTCTTCTTGAGGTTATCCTCGTCCAATCTCGCCTTGTCTATTATCTTGATGGCAACCTGCGCAAAAAAGAAGTTTAGAACACAGGCACGGGTTAGTAAGCGGTTCCCGACCTGCCCTTGGATATTGCGTTGAAGTTGCTGTAGTCAAAACTATATACTATTAATAATATAAAGAGGAAATATTTGATTTTTTGTTCGTTTGTTTGTTCGTTACGATTGAACTCAAAAACTACTCAACTGATTTTAAAAATTCTTTTACTGATACAAAGCTGCATTATCAGCAAATAACATATATCCTATCCCCATATTCTCACAGGAACGGGAACTACGCGGATGAAATTAATAATATTATCATGCAAATTAGCTGAGCTATCGGAATTTTCGCGGACGAAGTCGCGGGGAAGTGTTAGTCGAATATAAAGAGGCCGTGCTTCACCGGATGTGACAAAAAAGTATAAATATTTCTAGTTCCTCGGCCCAACCAGCTCATTGGACTATAAACACGGTCAAAATTGGTTTCAGCTGTCAAATGTACATTTATAAAATGCTCGCAAGATAATTGTTAGAAAAATAAATCATTAAAATATAATATAAAATATAATATTATCAAATTAAATTTTCTCTTTAGCTTAAGACCCATTTACACGGTGCAAGTTTCTTGCCTGTTGCATACAATTAAATTGAAGCAATAAATGAGTTGCATGGTCTAAACAACAAATGGTCTAACAAATTATTGCGCGCAATTTATTGCATTCAATTATTGCTCTTGTATGTACAAGAAAATGGCATCGTGTAAATGGGCCTTTATTTCACAAAGGTGAAAGGTTAAAAGGTGCTCTCGTCGACGATTCACGTAAAGGATATTATATAAAATCTTATTTACACTCGAAATTTCGTTTCTGAGGATCAATTGTTTGTAACCTTTGACATCGGGGTCAAAGTTTGATAACCGAGGAAAAAAGATCTTACGTCCTTAATTGTTATGACACAAAATAAAATGCCACCAATAAAGGGTGATGCCACATTATTAACCGTAGTAGTCACTTAGAGCTAACTGTGCATATTTATTGTGGATAATACAAGTGTATTGTGACGTGGGTCGTAGCTTTGATCTCCGGGATACGTAATTGTATGGCTTACAAAAACTGATTCCAGAATTGCGCGTTTGTTCACATTGCGAAATGTTTCAACACTCTCGAATGTCTGCACACATTCACAGTAACACAGGATAATGTTATCCTAAGGTAGAGTATTGTTTTATTAAAGAATCATCGACAACATCTATACATAGTTATTAATACGTGAAGCAAATCTTTGTACCCCTTTTTACGAAAATTGCGCGGACAGAGGAGCATGAAATTTCCCACACTTGTATTTTATATAGAGGAGTGCATAACACTAATATATTTTTTTTAATTATGCATGAAAAATACAATAAATCGATAAAAAAATTTACACACACTACCATGTATAATTTATTGTGGTCTAATTTCGACCACTGGACGACCACTAGTACAATTAATTATATAAAATCATCGACAACAAAATATTTATGATAAATATGTACGCGAAATCCTCCGACCGACTCTCTGTGTAAAACAATAACCATATTATGTCGACGCCCCACAAATGGAGCAACGATGAAATCTTGTCAGACATCCGTCGCATTACGGCGTTGCTCCGACGCCCACGGTTCAAGGAACAACTAAGGAAGTACGCAATAAACGGTGCACAATAGTTCTCTGCTATTGCATTACGGCATCGCTACGAGAACCGGCGGATCGGGGAAAGAGTACGCTCACAAACTAGCCAGGAGAAACCACGATCGGGGAGGAAACATAGACGCGATCAGGACAGCGGACAATTTTCTTCAATCATCTATTAACCGGGTCAGCGTTCAGCATTTGCGTAAGTGCTATCGTGGCCCACGGAAACTTGTATTTCCGGGGAGGTACGTCAGTACTTATATAAAAACCGGCGAAGTGCGAGACCGACTCGCGCACGACAGGTGAAAATTTCTGTCTGTTTATCTCTGCGTTTGTGTGCGCTCATCTCAGAAACGGCTAAACCGATTTGGGTGCAACGCACGAAGGGTTCCGTAGTTAATTCCGCACTTTTTAAGCACTATATAAAATGTAATACATGAAGGCGGAACCGCGGGACGGGGATATATACTTTTACATAACTCGTTATCATTAAACACAAACACACATTTTTCGCAAATATAGAGAAACGGAAGCGGTAACAAAGCAAGCTTTTTAAATTTATATACAATAAGTGCGTCGTTTAGTTCGGTATATTTCGTTGTATATTACAATCATGTAATTTTTTAGCGATGAACTAATGATACACAGTAGCATCGTGTTGTTATGTTTGAGTATATATTTATTCTATGAGCCGTCAACATAAGATGTTTTGGATATTGATTACATTGATTGTCATGACGCAACACCTTGTTTTCTATAGGTAAAAGGATCATCTCATAAAGAGACATCAGGCATTGTGTCGCCGCCTGTCATAGAATTAATGGCTTGCTTAAAAAGGAAGGATACGAGTTGTGTCCCATCGTTGTTATAATGTGCTAACTAATTTACTACTCAGGTACTTACGGTACGGTTCGAGATGTCGGTCTCGGTCTCGATTCCAGTCATCGATCCAGTAAACAATCAGGCCGAGTTCGTACAAAGTCCGAGAATATCGGCCATTGCCACGGCGAGATCGTGGTCCTCATAACCAACCTCCACCAACAAACGTTACTTGTGATGCTATTTAGTAGAGCTTAACAGTTACATGATGAAAGACGACATAATTTAAAAGGATACAACGATAGAAAATGACTTTTGTTATTTTATAATACAGTTCAGTTCAATTTCGATAACCTATTGAAGTTAGAATATTCGATAGTAACTGACGCGAACCGAGAGATATGCGATTTTCAAATCTCGTCGATACGTCTTTTCTATAACAATCAAAAACTAAATTCCCACAAACAGGAGTTGACAATTGATGAACTCATAGAGATGATTGAGCTACAGTAAACCCATTTTGATACCAAGTTTTTAGAGTCGGTTCCATCAGAGAAGATCGAGCAGGTGGGAATCTCACAGAAGGCCTCAGTTTAATTGAATAGGAGTTACAAATTTTAGAAAACGAAATCTCCAACGAAGGGCGCATTTTTTCAACAAAAAAGGAATAAAACACTTTAAGCATGCTATGAGGAAAATTTGGGGGAGAAAAAAGCTGATCGACTGCTTTGTTAGATTTCATGAAGTTCATTCAAAATCGCCATCTGAACTTATTTTGATGTACAAGATCAAAATAAGTTCAGATGGCGATTTTGAATTTGTATTATCCAAGGCAGAATCACTGGAGGATCTTTGTACTAAGCTCAATATTGTCAACAGTGTCTCTAAACAGGTGCGCCTTAAGATGAACATGCACAAGACGAAGATCATGTCTGGTATCCATGACACGCCTACACCGGTTGTTGTTGAGAGCACTGTGCTGGAAGTTGTTGACGAGTATGTTTAACTAGGACAGTTTGTCCGGTTAGGTAAGTCTAACTTCGACGCAGAGAGCGATAAGCGAATCCAAATCGGATGGAGCAGTATTCGGAAAACTTCGACATATCTTCTCGACAAATATCCCCAATGTTTGAAAACTTAAATCTTCAATTAGTGAGTGACACGCACGGAACTGAGACTTGTCCATTACTGCTGGCCGTATGAGGAGGTGCAAAGATTGAATATCACCCCCATTTTAATGTCACTGGCATTGGAAATATTATAGTGTGTTACATTTTTGAAGTCGGTTTTATTTGTTTAATAATAATATAATAATAAAATATCTTTATTCACATAGACGCTTGCGCATTCTTATGAAACGTCGAAATTTTACAAGGAAATTAATATGTTCATAAGTTACCACCGGTTCGGAAAGCAGTTTCCGTTGAGAAGATACCAGCAAGAAACTCAACAGTTGCTCTAATTTAAAAGGTCAGTTTACAAGATAATGTTACAGGTATAATAGTCTTGTTTTAGCCTACGTGAGTATCAACAGTATTAACCCCACACATTGGCGTCGTCAAGATATTCAGCAATAGTATAATATGCTTTAGCCATAGGTTTACTTTTAACTTTTCGTTTAAATTCATCAAGTGGCAGACTTAATATCGACTGTGGGATTTTATTATACATGCGCACACTTTGCCCCATGAACGACCTGTTTACTTTTTGTAGACGAAACAATGGCGTAGTTAGATTGTCCTTATTTCTAGTATTTAGTTTATGTCTGTCACTATTCTTTAGGTAATTATTAATATTATGTTTAACATACAAAATATTACAATAAATATATTGAGACACAACCGTTAGTATATTAATCTCTTTAAAAAGGTCTCTGAGTGTATTCCAGGCTCCGATGTTATAGATTGCTCGGACAGCTCTTTTTTGAAGAATAAATATAGCATTTATATCAGATGCACTACCCCACAACATGCCGTAAGACAAGATGCTGTGAAAATAACTGAAATAAACAAGTCTGGCAGTGTCGATGTCTTATAGCTGCCTAACCTTCCTAATTGCAAAAACAGCTTTTGTTACTAAATGTTATATAATATCAATTGAATTATTAATTTATGAGTAGCGGGGGCTCTGCTCTCGACGAGCAATGTGAGCCTGTGTGCGCATAGGATTGTGCAAATGCGTGGCCCCTTGCGTACCCGTAATTACTCCCGTCATGGCGACTCGGACTAATCACGGGCACGGCCGCACACAGACGGACAATTAGTGCCAATAGCGTAGTAATTGAGCGTGCTCGCAACACGCGGCGCGGGCTGCCGTCACGCGGTGCCCCCGGGCCGCCGCGTGCCGAGCGCCGCCGCCGCGCAATTGAACCTGGGCCCGCTTCCGAATTAACTGCCACTCAACGAGCGTGCACGTATTAATAGCGCGCGAGTTGGACTGTATTCGTTGTCGTAGTAAGACTTCGGTTAATCTATTGGCGAGGATAGCTCGCGATAGCGATAGCAATGGGGAGTATGTGCCGCGGAGACCTAA